CATGTTCAATAGCACCTCCAGGACTGAGATGAATAAAAGAGGGGATAGAGGGCACCCCTGTCGTGTCCCTTTTTCAATTTTAAATTCCTCCGACACCACATTGTTCACTATTAGTTTGGCTTTCTGCTCAGAATAAATTGCTTGTATTCCATTTTCAAACCCCCGTCCCACTCCCATCCCTTCCAAGTTTTTCTTCATAAACAACCAAGATATGTTGTCAAATGCTTTCTCCGCATCAATAAAAATTAACACCGCCCTTGTGTTCCTGTTGGTTTGCAAAAGCTCCAAAATGTCAATGATGTTCCTGGTATTCTCATATAAATGTCTACCAGGGAGAAAGCCAGCTTGGTCTTTATGAATTACTTCATTTAAGACCTTTTTAAGTCTGCTTGCCAAAATGTCTGCAAATATTTTGTAATCCACATTTAAGAGTGAGATGGGACGGTAGTTCTTAAGTTGGTTCTTTTCAGTTTCCACTTTCGGAATCAATGTGATGAAAGCTTCTTTCCACGACTCCGGTGTCTTCTTCCCCTCCATAATCTGGTTACATACCTCTAACAGAGGTTGTATCAAATAGTCCTTCAAAGTCTTATAATATTTGGAGGTAAGTCCATCCGGGCCTGGAGATTTGCCTAGTTGCATATTCTGAATGGCACCTTCGATTTCCTGTGAGGTTATTGTTGAGTTCAGGATTGATCTTTTGTCTTGAGTTATCTTTGATAGTCCATTTGTCTTTAAAAATTGGTCTATCTCAGGTTCTTTCTGAGGCCCTTGTGCGTAGAGTTCTTTAAAATATCTGTGGAAGCACTTCCTAATTTCTTCTGGTTTCTGCACCGTTTTTCCATCAATCTCTAGATTTGTAACTGTATTTAACTTCTGTCTTTTCTTCAGCTGCCAAGCAAGCAGCTTTCCACACTTATTTGCTGATTCAAATGATCTTTGTTTCATCTGTTTAATTTTCCATTCAATCTCTTGATTTATCAGTTTAGAATATTGTGCTTGATGGAATTTGATTTCTCTCAGCACCTCCTTTGACTTTGGTTTGGTTCTCAATTTTTTCTCTCCTTGATGTATTTTCTCCAATATTTTATCCTTCTTTCCATTCCAGAGCTTTTTCTTAATTGTATTTTGTTGAATCAGAAACCCTCTCATAACGGCTTTACTTGCGTCCCAGATCGTTCTTTTTTCTACTGTGGTATTCAAATTTATCTCGAAATAATCCTTTAACGTTTTTTGGGCCTTTTTCACAATCTCTTGATCTCTTAGTAAGGTGTCATTCATTCTCCATCTGAAGGAACCGGGTTGAGTTAGTCTGAGTTCTACTTTCAAGGCGTTGTGGTCGGAGCATGTTTTTGGGCAGATTTCCACCTTTCTGGTCTTAGGTGCCAGCCCTCTAGACGTCCAGATTTGGTCGATCCGTGTCCAAGACAGGTGGGCCTCAGAGAAGAAAGTTCCTTCTTTACCTAGGGGGTTCTTTGTCCTCCATATGTCAATCAAGTCCAAGTTATCAGTCAGTTCAAAAAAAGTTTTAGGCAGTCTGCCGTCTGATGTTAAGTTTTGGCTTTGAGACTTGTCCATGTGTGTAGACACCACTCCATTCATATCTCCCATCATTATAATATTATTATAGTCCATGTAGTCCAGCAAAATCTCATGCAGCTTCTTGAAAAATTCTGATTTCCCGTCGTTTGGGGCATATATTCCTAATATCAAAATTTTTTCTCCTTGTGTCTGGATTTCAATCGCCAAAATTCTTCCTTGTTCATCCTTAAATAGGAATTTTGGTGCCAGGCTCTCCTTAGCATAGATCACCACACCTCTTTTCTTAACCTTATCTGATGAGATAAATTCTTGGCCTAATCTTTTGTTGATCAAAACTTTCCTGTGGAGTCTGGTCACATGAGTTTCTTGTAGGCAAATGATATCCAATTGTTCTTTCTTCAATATGTGAAATATCTTCCTTCTTTTCTCCGGGGAATTTCCGCCATTTATATTCCAGCTGAGTAGCTGCAGAGACATCCTGTACTATTTTGTTACAGCTAGAGTGGTGTATCTTCTTTGTCCTCTGGTCCCGAGGGTGTAGGCGTTGCTCCTCCTCCAGGCAGTATAGGCCCAGATTGAGGTAGAGGCCAATGTGCTGCTGCTTCTTTTTGGAGATCTTCACCGTGGTCGTGCTGAAACTTTTGTAGATCCTCTGGGGTTCTTATTTTAACCTTCTTCTGTTTGTAGGTAAATGATAGGCCTTGTGGAAACTCCCACCTATAAGGGATTGCGTTGAGCCTCAACAACTTTGCCAATTCTGAGTAGGTGGCTCTCAAGTCCAGTAGCTGTTTGGGTATATCTCTGTAAATTTCCACCCTTTTGTTTTGTATCTCCAGTGAATTTTTGAAGTGTAGGCCTAGTATTTTGTCTCTCTCTTCTCTTGATCTTAAGGCTATCAAACAGTCCCTGGATCTGTCCTTTCTTACTAATCTTCCCAGTCGAAAAGCGATACTATTTTAAAATCGCTTTCTTCCTTTATGCCCCAGAACTTTGAAAATTCTGTTGTCAAAAATCCAATCAGGCTTTCTTGCTCAATTTCTGGAATTGCTCTCAATCTAAGATTGGTCTCGCGATTTTTCAGTTCCACCAAAGAGAGATAGGCTTGCTGGTCCCCAATCTGTTTATGCAGAGGCTTGACTTCTGCTTTAACTTCCTCGACCTCTTTCTTGGCAGACGTTGCTATTTGAATGGCTTCCCCAGCCAATTTCCGGTTCTCCTCTGTTGCTCCTTGCAATTTTTCAATTGCTTGTGTGTGTTGGGAAACCTGATCCGTCAATTTCTGGATCGAGGATGTAGCTTGGTCAATTTTTATTGATTGGTTATCTACCTTTTGATTTAGAGCTGACAAGTTGTTCCAAAATTTGTTTCAGGACTGCCTCGGATCCTCCTGATGCCATATCCTCCTCTTCAGATTTTTTAGGCTTTTCAACTTCTACTTTATGTGTCTCAAGCACAGCTGGGACCGATGATCTGCGTCCCTGAGTCAAAGTTGTTTGTACAAGCTGTGTCTGCTTTTTCTCTTTTTCTTTTTCCTTAGCTTCCTTAGCCTTGGCTGCTCTTGTCTTTCCCGTGCCACTCATCAGTCAGTGTTCAAGGTCAAATACTGTAGTCCCATGGGAAAGGCAAGTCCAATTTAAAAACAATCCAGTGAGAGAAGGTAAACAAATAGAGCTGTTCCCAGGCCTTTGTAATTTCAATATCCTCTAGGGGAGTGCCACCAAAATTCAGTAGGAAGAAGGAGGATTTTCCGCCATTTAAAATCCCTATTGTTCCAATTTTAAAAGCACATAGTCCCAGAGCACTAAATAAAAGAGTCCTGCAGAGCACTTTCAAACTTTAATAAAGTTCCAACTAGGTGCCTGCAACAGTATCCAGTCCACACTAATTTGGCTCAAAAGTATCACTTTAAAATCCAAAAGTATCTAGAAGTTTGTAACAGTCTCCCCAGCCACTCTGGGCAGCTTCCAAACAAGTGTTAAAAACAAGACAGCATCAAATATTAAAAACTTCCCTAAACAGGGCTGCCTTCAGATGTCTTTTAAAGAGAAGATAGCTGCTTATTTCCTTCACATCTGAAGGGAGGGCGTTCCACAGGGCAGGCGCCACTACCAAGAAGGCCCTCTGTCTGGTTCCCTGTAACCTCACTTCTCACAGTGAGGGAACCACCAGAAGGCCCTTGGAGATGGATCTCAATGTCTGGGCTGAATGATGGGGGTGGAGACGCTCCTTCAGGTATACAGGACCGAGGTACTGGGAGCCAATGCAGATCTCTCAGGACCGGTGTTATGTGGTCCCGGTGGCCACTCCCAGTCACCAGTCTAGCTGCCACATTCTGGATTAATTGCAGTTTCCGGGTCACCTTCAAAGGTAGCCCCACGTAGAGCGCATTGCAGTAGTCCAAGCGGGAGATAACTAGAGCATGCACCACTCTGGCAAGACAGTCCGCAGGCAGGTAGGGTCTCAGCCTGCATACCAGGTGGAGCTGGTAGAAAGCTGCCCTGGACGCAGAATTGACCTGCGCCTCCATGGACAGCTGTGAGTCCAAAATGACTCCCAGGCTGCACACCTGGTCCTTCAGGGGCAGTTACCCCATTCAGGACCAAGGAGTTCACCTAGACCTTTAAATAACTTAGGTCACCTAATGTTCTGTTTCAAATTTTATATGGCTCCCCGGCTCCTTAATGGTTTTGTGTTTCACCCTGTGTTTCAATTGTTTGTTTTTTCTTTTTTGATTGCATGCCACACAGAGAACTTTATGTTATGACAGAGGTGAGGCTGTTTCAGCCAAGCTGCACTCACAGGCCAAGGCAGGGATTGACAACAAATGGCATACAATGTGGGAATGAACAATTGCAGTGATCCAGCACGCATGGCAACTGTGATCAAAGATCAGCTGGAAGGAGCTGGGGGAACTGGCTTCCGTTAAGTGCTTGATGTTGTGATCCTTAGCCATTAGGACTTTTCTCCAGCTCAAACTGAAACTGAACCAGTTGTTTCGTGCATTTTGTTTCGCGTATTTTGCTCAAGATGTCAACAGTAAAGGTAAAGGTACCCCTGCCCGTACGGGCCAGTCGTGTCCGACTCTAAGGATTACGTGCTCATCTCGCTTAAGAGGCCGGAGCCAGCGCTGTCCGAAGACACTTCCAGGTCACGTGGCCAGCGTGACGAAGCTGCTCTGGCGAGCCAGCACCAGCGCCGCACATGGAAACGCCGTTTACCTTCCTGCTATAAAGCGGTACCTATTTATCTACTTGCACTTAAGGGTGCTTTCGAACTGCTAGGTGGGCAGGAGCTGGGACCGAAAGACGGGAGCTCACCCCGCCGCGGGGATTCGAACCGCCGACCTTACAATCGGCAAGTCCTAGGCACTGAGGTTTTACCCACAGCGCCACCTGCGTCCCTTCCTTGTTGACAAGATGACAACAAGGAAGACTTAAAATGGCTAACACAAACAGCTCTTTGCTCTTTATACAGATATTTTATTTCACTTGAAAGGGACAGAGATACATAATATACATTTACCAATAAAATCCACGCATAAATGCAAACATCAGAAAATAACAGCATAAATTTCTGAAAATATGTTTTCTATCAAAAGGATGAAGGTATCAAGGTGAAACTTCAATATTGCTTTTAGCAAAATATCCAAGTTACAAGTGAACTGGTCTTCATGATGATTCAAAATGCAGCATCTAAAAACTGGAAACTACCCTGGATCACAATTGACTTCTATGAAGTATTAAGCCAGCCAATGATCTGAACATTTCAGTGTGCGGGTGTGTGTTTGTGTGTGTGTCACAACAACATTGGAGTTTAAGTGTTGTCAATACCTCACACTTTACACTTTTTGAGAATGAAATCTTTTTTTAAATGCATAAACTTTATCTCATTCAGAATGATAAATATATATTGCCTGAAACAAAATCTGCAATTTTAAAAAATTCTACACCACACCTAAAGTATTTAATTTCAATTTGCGACCCTCTGAAGCCAGCGCACGTACTCAGGTACTGGCAAAACTCGGGTGCAGTGATTTCACTCTTGCCAACCTAGAGAGGCCAAGCCTGAGACCTTGCGTGGGCGATTTCCCGTGGGTTCTTCCCAGCTGCATGGCACTGCTTCCAGATGTAGCTGAAAAGATTGTTGGAGAGGTACATTAAGAAAAATAAGTAGACTAGAATATTGTATTCATGCTTTACTGGCTGCGTAGCAGTAAACTCATCTCTTGCACATACTCGTCTTCAAGCTCATTTTATCTCTTTAGAGGCTTCAGAAGAAATATTTAGAGAAGAATTCAACACCATGTTTTGCAAATTGTTCCGTCAGTCCAAGCTTTCCAGCTTGCACAACAGAACCATTTCCCCTCTCATCCCTGAGTACTGTTTGGGGGGTTCTCCAGTCCTCATCAGAGCCAATTTTGGGGGTGAAGGAAGAGATGGAGGAATTGTTGAGCTAGCTCCCACTAGCGCATCTTCTTAGTTAAATCCGGCCCTTAACCATACAAATGTAAGAGGGCTGTAAACTTTAAAGGACTCTTTGCATGACAACAAGTCCTCCTCAAATATATCCAGTCTCCTATTAAGTGGCAACCTCACTTAAAAAGTCTGAGTCTCAAAACAGTGGGAGACGGGGAAATATGTCGGGTAACCCATGGTTCAAGTAATCTGCAAGATGCAAGAAACTCCAGTGAAAGAAATAGTGGACAAACTGAACCAAGTAGCATTAAACACTACATAACGCAGAATTTCTAGTACACCGAGGGGTATTTCTGTTGTTGTCAGATCATCTCCAGTTTGTGCCAATGTTTCCATTTTGTCTCTGAGATTCCACCTTGTCTATTAGCTGTCAAGGTGAAATGGGGAGGGGGGAAGGTATCCTTGAACTCATTTATTCTGGGATATGGAACTCTAAAGCATCCTAAAGCCAACCTCCTCTCCATCCCAAGGCAAGTCCTTGGCAATACAGTGGTACCTCTGGTTGCGTAAGGGATCCGTTCTGGAGCTCCGGTCGGATCCCGAGGTTTCCACAACCGGAGGGACTGCTTCTGCGCATGCGGCGGTAGACCGCTTCTGCGCACGCGTGAATGGCAACACCAGGAAAAATACTTCTGGGTTTGCCACGTACGTATCCCTAAGGATAAGTAACCAGAGGTGAATGTAAGTAGAGGTACCATTGGAATGAGTCCTGTGTCCTTTTACAACCTCCCACTTAGCACTAAATACATCCATCCAGCATCTATCATGCCTTTTTGAAAAATAGCCTTGGCATCTCCCTTTTCATTTCCACAGAAAACCTCTTTCAGCAGACACCCTGGCTTTTGTCTTCTAATACCGTATAACTGTTTTCATCCTTGACTTAAGTGTGCTTTTTTGGAGAATGGTCATCTGGAACCCACATTGTTCTCTCTTGAAGCTTCCAGTACAATGCTCATGCTGAACCTCAACCCCTGCAGTTCTGCTCAGTGAAACCTCTACTAATATCTGGAAAGGCTTGATATTTTTTCTGGGGGGGGGGGGTTGTGTGCAGTCCAGTAGAAGCCCCAGCCTGGTGCCCATTCTTGCACCGCTGCATCCCATGAGCCTGCCAAATGAAAGCTCTAGAATGGCATGGGAAGGCAGATTCCTCCCTGCCGTTGGCACCTACTGCCCAGCCACAAGAATCCATCTTCCCCTTCCTTCCTCCATGTGTCTCAGCAAACTCTAGAGCAGGGGTGGCCAACTCCCAAGAGACTGCGATCTACTCACTGAGTTAAAAGACTGGAATAATAATAATAATAATAATAATAATAATAATAATAATAATAATAATAATTATTATTTATACCCCGCTCATCTGGCTGGGCTTCCCCAGCCACTCTGGGCGGCTTCCAAAAGAATATTAAAATACTATAATACATCAAACATTAAAAGCTTCCCGAAACAGGGCTGCCTTAAGATGTCTTCTGAGTGTCAGGTAGTTATTTATCACTTTGACATCTGGTGGGAGGGCGTTCCACAGGGCGGGTGCCACTACCGAGAAGGCCCTCTGCCTGGTTCCCTGTAACTTGGCTTCTCGCAGTGAGGGAACCGCCAGAAGGCCCTCGGTGCTGGACCTCAGTGTCCGGGCTGAACGATGGGGGTGGAGACGCTCCTTCAGGCCATTTAGGGCTTTAAAGGTCAGCACCAACACTTTGAATTGTGCTCGGAAACGTACTGGGAGCCAATGTAGGTCTTTCAAGACCGGTGTTATGTGGTCTCTGCGGCTGCTCCCAGTCACCAGTCTAGCTGCCGCGTTCTGGATTAGTTGTAGTTTCCGGGTCACCTTCAAAGGTAGCCCCACGTAGAGCGCATTGCAGTAATCCAAGCGGGAGATAACCAGAGCATGTACCACTCTGGCGAGGCAGTCCGCAGGCAGATAGGGTCTCAGCCTGCGTACCAGATGGAGCTGGTAAACAGCTGCCCTGGACACAGATTTGACCTGTGCCTCCATGGACAGCTGTGAGTCCAAAATGACTCCCAGGCTGCGCACCTGGTCCTTCAGGGGCACAGTTACCCCATTCAGGACCAGGGAATCCTCCACACCTGCCCGCCTCCTGTCCCCCAAAAACAGTACTTCTGTCTTGTCAGGATTCAACCTCAATCTGTTAGCCACCATCCAACCTCCAACCGCCTCCAGGCAGTGATCTACCCCCTTTTGGGGGAGTTCAGGTCAAAGTTGTTGAGAAAGGAGGAAGGCCCGTTTGGGGTGCAAGGCAAAAATATTGAGGGGTTTTTTAGGAGAGCCAAACTACTTGAGCGTCTTTGGGGGGAGCCAGTGATCTGCCACAGACGTCCAGTGATCTACCGGTAGATCACTATCTACCTGTTGGACGTGCCTGCTCTAGAGCAAGTAAACTCTTGTTTTGACTTGTGCCTCCTGCCTGATCTTGCAGGTCACTTTCTTCCTTTCTTCTCTTTCTTGCTTCGGAGAGAGCATGTGCCACAATGCAGCTGTGCAACTTCAGCTCACGACTGCTCTTTCTCCCTCCCCTTGTGGGTAACTTAACTATGCAGTTTGTGTCTCTTAATGCCTTTTAATAAATCCGCTTTTCTGGGTCAATTACCCAAAGTCTCAGTTCCATTTTCCTTCCAAGAAACTTCAGGATGACAATTCAAAGCAAAGACTCAAATGTTTTTGAGGACGGGGGCAGGCAGGTGTGGAGGACTCCCTGGTCTTGAATGGGGTAACTGTGCCCCTGAAGGACCAGGTGCGCAGCCTGGGAGTCAATTTGGACTCATGTGGAGGCGCAGGTCAATTCTGTGTCCAGGGCAGCTGTCTACCAGCTCCACCTGGTACGCAGGCTGAGACCCTACCTGCCCTCAGACTGTCTTGCCAGAGTGGTGCAAGCTCTGGTTATCTCTCGCTTGGACTACTGCAATGCGCTCTATGTGGGGCTACCTTTGAAGGTGACCCGGAAACTACAATTCATCCAGAATGCGGCAGCTAGACTGGTGACTGGGAGTGGCCGGCGGGACCACATAACACCAGTCCTGAAAGATCTACATTGGCTCCCAGTACATTTCAGAGCACAATTCAAAGTGTTGGTGCTGACCTTGAAAGCCCTAAATGGCCTCGGTCCAGTATACCTGAAAGAGCGTCTCCACCTCCATTGTTCAGCCCAGACACTGAGGTCCAGCTCCGAGGTCCTTCTGGCGGTTTCCTTACTGTGAGAATTAAGGTTATAGGGAACCAGGCACAGGGCCTTCTCAGTAGTGGCGCCCGCCCTGTGGAACACCCTCCCATCAGATGTCAAAGAAATAAGCAACTATCTGACTTTTAGAAGACATCTGAAGGCAACCTTGTTTAGGGAAGTTTTTAATGTTTGATGTTTTATTGTGTTTTTAATATTCTGTTGGGAGCCTCCCAGAATGGCTGGGGAAATCCAGCCAAATGGGCGGGGTATAAATAATAAATTGTTGTTGTTGTGTTATCCACACCACACTCCTTTTAATGCAGCAAATTGTCCTAGGCCAGCAGCCTGTATTCTGGCAGAAATAGAGCCAGAGGCTACTGAGGAAAAAGGTTAACCTGAGAGACCAGATTAATATATTTTTCATTATCCATGGTTCCTGAGGGGCTTTACCTGAACATAGAAAATAGATGGAGTTAATGATTATATTTTTATCCTGGTTTTCAGACAATGATTTTGCATGGATATAGGTATCCTAAGCAACCATATAAACAGTGTATGCATTGAATATACCTGGTGACGTGCAGTTAGGCTTCTTGGCCAAAGAAGGGCTAGATGCTGTCAACGGCTGTCCAATCTGTTCTAGAGAACTTGACAAATTCTGCAAAGCTGGTTCAGATTTGGCTGGAAGTAGTCCCATGGTTAAAAAAAATAAGAAAAAATAACTTTGGAAAATCATTTTTAATGGATGGATAATACAGAATAGAGGTTATATTCAAGAAATATGGAAGTCACTTCTAAATAGCAAATTAATTTGACAGCTACAGGGGGGGAAACAAGCACATTCCTCTGACATATACTTCAATGGAGCAGTTAACAAAAAGTTTGTCCTAATAAGTTGCTAAAAAAAAGGTAAAGGACCCCTGAGAGTTAAGTCCAGTCGGGAACGACTCTGGGGTTGCAGCGCTCATCTCGCTTTACAGGCCGAGGGAGCCAGTGTACAGCTTCTGGGTCATGTGGCCGGCATAACTAAGCCGCTTCTGGCAGAACGGAACACTGAAACCACAGCTGCGCATGGAAACGCTGTTTACCTTCCCACCGGAGTGGTACCTATTTACAGTGGTGCCCCGCAAGACGAATGCCTCGCAAGACGGAAAACCCGCTAGACGAAAGGGTTTTCCGTTTTGGAGGTGCTTCGCAAAACGAATTTCCTATGGGCTTGCTTCGCAAGACGAAAATGTCTTGCGAGTTCCTGCAGGGTTTTTTTCCTCCCCCCCCCCTTTTCCCCAAGCCGCTAAGCCGCTTATCAGCTGATCCGCTAAGCCGCTTATCAGCTGATCCGCTAAGCCCGCTAAGAGCGCTAATCCGCTAAGCCGCTAATGGGCTTGCTTCGCGAGACGAAAAAACCACAAGACGAAGAGACTCGCGGAATGGATTCTTTTCGTCTTGTGAGGCACCACTGTATCTACTTCTACTTTTTGGCGTGCTTTTGAACTGCTAGGTTGGCAGGAGCAGGGACCGAGCAACGGGAGCACACTAAAAATAAGGTGTTTAAATTGTGCACTTGCACACCTCTAACTTTCTCAGGATTGCACTTCTGTATGGAAACATGGGCCTGGGAAGTTGATTTCATAAAACACTCCTGTGAGAAGGCCTGGAGCGCAAGTTTCACTTAGCTTTAAAATAAGTGCTATTTTATGCATACCACACACACCTCTGAAAACCAGATGCAAGAAAGCTTGGCACCAAAATGGCACCCAGGAAAGAATCAAATCTTACCTATCGAGTCCCTCTCTGATTTGGAATTCTTCTTTTCCTTCTTTTTGCTTTCAGCATTTCGCTCCCTTCCTTCTTTTCTGTTTCCTGTAGCTTTCTTCTTCACAACGAATTCAACATCATCATCTTCACCGAAGCTGGAATCGCCCTCAGATTCTTCAGCTGAAAGCAGAAATGGGAAACAGTCAGGTACAAAATAATGGCATAAAGTTTAGTAGCAATAGGCTAGGAAAATTAACTATCTTTCTACCACATTATTAAAAAAGAAGTCACACTGTGGGAACTTTACTCCTGAGTTAGCAGACTGTGGCTGTACAGTGCAATCAGAAATGAGCACTTTTGAACCTTCACCTTATTCCCAGATACATTCTCTCCTTTTTAAAGTTATCAAAATAATTAACTGAACTTTGAAGGTATTTCACTCTAGTTTTTGTGGCTGAATTTCAGAACTTCTACATTTTGTGATTTTCATCAACATCAATATTTCTCAAATAGCTTATTGGTTAAAAGAGAATTATGAATGTCTTTTATTTCTGGTCCTAAATACATAGAATCATAGAGTTGGAATAGACCACTAGGGCCATCGAGTCCAACCCCCTGCCAAGCAGGAAACACCATCAGAGCACTCCTGACATATGGTTGTCAAGCCTCTGCTTAAAGACCTCCAAAGAAGGAGACTCCACCACACTCCTTGGCAGCAAATTCCACTGTCGAACAGCTCTTACTGTCAGGAAGTTCTTCCTAATCTTTAGGTGGAATCTTCTTTCTTGTAGTTTGGATCCATTGCTCCGTGTCCGCTTCTCTGGAGCAGCAGAAAACAACCTTTCTCCCTCCTCTATGTGACATCCTTTTATATATTTGAACATGGCTATCATATCACCCCTTAACCTCCTCTTCTCCAGGCTAAACATGCCCAGCTCCCTTAGCCATTCCTCATAAGGCATCGTTTCCAGGCCTTTGACCATTTTGGTTGCCCTCCTCTGGACACGTTCCAGTTTGTCAGTGTCCTTGAACTGTGGTGCCCAGAACTGGACACAGTACTCCAGGTGAGGTCTGACCAGAGCAGAATACAGTGGCACTATTACTTCCCTTGATCTAGAGGCTATACTCCTATTGATGCAGCCCAGAATTGCATTGGCTTTTTTAGCTGCCGCGTCACACTGTTGGCTCATGTCAAGTTTGTGGTCAACCAAGACTCCTAGATCCTTTTCACATGTAGTGCTCTCAAGCCAGGTGTCACCCATCTTGTATTTGTGCCTCTCATTTATTTTGCCCAAGTGCAATACTTTACATTTCTCCCTGTTAAAATTCATCTTGTTTGTTTTGGCCCAGTTCTCTAATCTGTCAAGGTCATTTTGACGTGTGATCCTGTCCTCTGGGGTGTTAGCCACCCCTCCCAGTTTGGTGTCATCAGCAAATTTGATCAGGATGCCCTTGAGTCCATCACCCAAGTCATTGATAAAGATGTTGAATAAGACCGGGCCCAAGACAGAACCCTGTGGCACCCCACTAGTCACTCTTCTCCAGGATGAAGAGGAACCATTGATGAGCACCCTTGGGTTCGGTCAGTCAGCCAGTTACAAATCCACTGAGTGGTAGCATAGTCAAGACATGTGGGACTGCAGCCCAAAATGTCAACACCACTTTAAGAGCAGCAAAAAGCACAAGACAGAAATGTTTCTATTGAGAGTCTTCAAGAATCACCTTGTTTCTGTGAATCTTGTACTTTATGGTCCTTCCAGGTGGTTCATCCATTGATAACGCTAAGGCAACTTCCAAATCTCTCTGGTAAAGTCTGTGATCCAAGGGAAGTCTGAAGAAATTTGAAAAACAGTTATGGAAAACTCATTATCAATATGTTTATTAAACTCAGTGCCAACACAAATTAAAAAAGGAAGAAAGAAACTATTTCATGCTCTGAAACCAACTTTAAATCCTGGTTTTAGATTTTATAATGGTTAAGATCAGTTCCAATAAACTGATCTTAGGTAGACAAAGGGAATTCGCTCCACTCCAAGGGAATGAACTTATATCCCCAAAGCCAGCTACCTGTTTCTTAACCACAGCTAGGAAAAAACCAGTGTTGTATCGCAAACACGTAAGTAAATTTAAAATGAATGGATTTCTCTTACCTTTTGTTTGGTGAACTCTTTTGGATCTGAATCTCCTGTTTGCGGGGCTTTTGCTCAATCTTTTTCTTTGTCAACTCAGAGCATGTCCTCTTTAATTTTTTGCTTGAAGGTGCAGTTATATTTGCAAAATCTTCATCTGTTTAGCAGAAGCACATTAGACGCACTGTAACAGTGCAAGTTCTTCCAGTTGTTTAAAATTCCCCCATTTTAACAATATGTTCAAAGCATGTATTGTCAGATATTCTAGAGCTTTAGATCTTCTGCAGTAATCCAGGATGATTTACCGTATTTTTCGCACTATAGGACGCACTTTTTCCCCTCCAAAAATGAAGGGGAAATGTGTGTGCGTCCTATGGTGCGCATGCAGGCTTTTGCTGAAGCCTGGAGAGCGAGAGGGGTCCGTGCGCACCGACCCCTCTCGCTCTCCAGGCTTCAGGAAGCTATCCCAAGTCTTGCAAGCCCGGCGGGATGTCCCGCGGGCTCGCAAGGCTTGCGGGCAGCAGCCTGCACCCAAAAGCTGGGGACAGCGGGGAGGCGCAGAGCCGCCACCCCGCTATTCCCCGACCTGATCTGGAGGCTGGCGGGGGGAGAAGCAAGCCTGCTTCTCCCCCCCCCAGCCCCACAAGCTCGGGGGATAGGGGGATGGCGAAGCGCCGCCATCCCGCTATTCCCCGACCTGATCTGGAGGCTGGGGGTGGGAGAAGCAAGCCTGCTTCTCCCCCCCCCCACCATCCCCACAACCTCCAGATCAGGTCGGGGAACAGCGGGATGGCAGCGCTCCGCCATCCCGCTATTCCCCGACCTGATCTGGAGGCTGGGGGTGGGAGAAGCAAGCCTGCTTCTCCGCCCCACCATCCCCACAACCTCCAGATCAGGTCGGGGAATAGCGGGATGGCGGCACTCCGCCATCCCGCTATTCCCCGACCTGATCTGGAGGCTGGGGGTGGGAGAAGCAAGCCTGCTTCTCCCCCCCCCAGCCCCACAACCTCCAGATCAGGTCGTGGAATAGCGGGATGGCGGCGCTCCGCCATCCCGCTATTCCCCGACCTGAACTGGAGGCTGGGGGCTGGAGAAGCAAGCCTGCTAGCTTCTCCCCCCCCCAGCCCCACAACCTCCAGATCAGGTCGGGAAATAGCGGGATGGCGGCGCTCCGCCATCCCGCTATTCCCCGACCTGATCTGGAGGCTGGGGGTGGGAGAAGCAAGCCTGCTTCTCCCCCCCCCCAGCCCCACAACCTCCAGATCAGGTCGTGGAATAGCGGGATGGCGGTGCTCCGCCATCCCGCTATTCCCCGACCTGATCTGGAGGCTGGGGGTGGGAGAAGCAAGCCTGCTTCTCCCCCCCACCAGCCCCACAACCTCCAGGCTTCAGGAGAGCCCCACCGCCAGCCCCACAAGCTCGGGGGACAGCGGGAGAGGCGCAGCGCGCCCTTCCCGCTGTCCCCCGACTTGGCTAGAAGGCTGGCGGGGGGAGAAGCCTGCTCCTCCCCGTCGCCAGCCCCGCAAACTCGGGAGACAGCGGCAGGGGCGCAGCGCGCCCTTCCCGCTGTCCCCCGACTTGGTTAGAAGGCTGGCCCAGCCCCGCAAACTCGGGGGACAGCGGGAGAGGCGCAGCGCGCCATCCCGCTGTCTCCCGACATGGTTTGGAGGCTGGCGGAAGGCTTCCTCCTCCCCCAGCCCCGCAAGCTCCCAGAGCGATGCCAAAGCTGCGCGCAGCTTCGGCATGGCTCTGGGTCCCGTTCTGGGGGAGGGGAAGCTCGGGCTTCCCCGCCCCAGCCCCGCGCCTGGCGGGGGGGGGGGGGATAAATTTTTTTTGCCTTTATTTCCCCCCCCCCAAATCTAGGTGCGTCCTATGGACCGGTGCGTCCAATAGTCCGAAAAATACGGTAAAACAAAATACAGTGGTACCTTGGTTCTCAAATGCCTTGGTATTCAAACAACTCGGAACCCAAACACTGCGAATCCGGAAGTGTTCTGCTTTGTGAACTTTTTCCGGAAGCTGAACATGCTCTGTTTTGAATGCCACACTTCTGTTTTGACTGTTACACTGAGGTCTGTCTGCTTTTGCTATTTATTTTGCGTTTTTGTGGCTTTTTTGTTTTGTTTTTGTGACTGTGTGGAACCCAGTTCAGCTACTGATTGATTGATTGTGTGACTGCAGTACATCGTTTATTCCTTTCATTTTATAGATCAATGGTCTCGTTTGATAGTAAAATTCATGTTAAATTGCTGTTTTAGGGGTTGTTTTAAAAGTCTGGAATTGATTAATCCATTTTGCATTACTTTTTATGGGAAAGTGTGCCTTGGTTTTGGGACGCTTTGGTTTTGGAACGGACTTCCGGAACGCATTAAGTCTGAGAACCAAGGTACCACTGTACAGGGAGATATTGGCACAGTAATAGCAGAGCAGTACAAGGGAAAGGAATGGGGACTTCATCTCTCTGCTTAACATTGCCTCCTCCCGAGTGGCACCCACTGCAAGCTGTGAGCGAAGGATGCTGAAATGGGGTGTCTTTGCCTCCTTCCTTTGCCACTTTCCCATTTCTCCTTGCAGCATGTCAGCTGAGATGAGGGAACGAGGAGGTTTGTTGCATCCAGAGTTAAGAATGCTATCTCTTCAACACCCCAAATACAGGGAGCCAGGCAATAGATTATGCTTATTTCATATGAATCAGCCTTGCTGTGTCTGTTCAGAACTTTGTTAGGAAGGATTCTTCAATGAAAGCTGGAGGGTATTAAAATCAGATTTACTGGGAAGGAGACATCGACCAGCTTTCTCCTTTTTCTATTTATTTTTGGGGATCTATCTCATGTACCCAGCCAGTCTTTCAAGCCCGTCCAGCTTTCATTACCCAGGGCATGGTATGTATCTTCTGTAACTAAAAACCGAAAACTAGTATGTCGTAAACTAAAATGCAATCTAACTACTATGTGACACTAGGTAAGGATATCCAGACAGTAAAAAGGTCCATTAGGTCCAGTCGTGGACGACTCTGGGGTTGCACACTCATCTCGCTTTATTGGCCGAGGGAGCCAGCATACAGCTTCTGGGTCATGTGGCCAGCATGACTAAGCCGCTTCTGGCGAACCAGACCAGCGCACGGAAACGCCATTTACCTTCCCGCCAGAGTGGTACCTATGTATCTACTTGCACTTTGACGTGCTTTCGAACTGCTAGGTTGGCAGGAGCAGGGACCGAGCAACGGGAGCTCACCCCGTCGCGGGGATTTGAACCGCCTACATTCTGATTGACAAGTCCTAGGCTCTGTGGTTTAACCCACAGCGCCACCCGCGTCCCCTCAATGAAAGCTAGTGGGTATTAAAATCAGTTTTCTCCTTTTTCCATTTATTTTTGGTGATCTCTCTCATGTACCCAGGCAGTCTTTCAAGCTTGTCCAGCTTTCATTACCCAGGACATGGTATGTACAAAACTATCTTCTGTAACTAAAAACTAATATGTTGTAAACTAAAATGCAAACTAACTGCTATGTGGCACTGGGTAAGGATATCCAGACAGTAGCGCTGGGCAATATTTCGATACTTTGCCTGAAACAAGTATGAAGTCCAGATTGCAAAGACAGTTTCGGACAGGTTCAGTAACAGCAGGAACAACTGACCGGAAGGAAAGAAGCAGCCCATGTCACTTGCTAGGGCAGACAGGCAGTTAAGAAGGTGGAGCACCTTCAAGGCTGGGCTGAGCTGTGGAGGGAGAGGCCAGGAGCTCCTTTGCCCGAGCAAGCGGGCAGCCTTCTTCCCTTCCTCTTGGTCGTTTCTCCCTCCCTCCACAGCCCAGCTGCTTTTTCAGATGTTATTTTGGTCATTGTGATATATCACTATATTGTGATGGTTAGCTGGTGATATATCACGATGCCGAAAACCAGATATCACCCAGAATTTGAAGTGCAATGTCAATATCAATATACCAATGATATCCAACTCTTATTTCTCTTTTCATCAGATTCACATTAAGCTGTCAGAAGTCCTAAACTGGAGTCCAAGATTATTAATGGACTTGATGAAGGCTAATAAACTGAAACTCAATCCAAGTAAGAGACAGGTAGTGCTGCTGAATGGGTCATCCAAATTTGAATATTGTATGGCAGTGTACATGGGCTACCCTTGAAAACCGTTCAGAAGATTGTTTGGAAGCACAAAATACTGCAGCTATGATATTAATTGAGAGCAGATGTACAGAGTGTACCTTGCCAGATTTAAAACAATAGCACTGGCTTGTAGTATGTGCTCATATTTAAATGTACAACAGGTTCGGGAAAAGATGCGATAAACCTTTGTAGAGCCAGTGCAAGCAAAGCTTAAACACAATGAACTTTTCTTCTAGTTGCACTCATATAAAACAGTTTTAGCAAGCTTCCGTGTTACTTTCCCACTGAATCTGCCCCCTTTTGGCATGAAGGAACAGCGAATGACTTACCATCATCATCTTCATCCACACTGCCAAACTGAGAATAATCAACTGCTTTCTTATTCCTAGAAGAATAAAACATGCAAATGCATAAGAGGGGTCATTTTTTTGTCTGCGCATGGAACCATTATGCATATGTAAGCAGTTGTTGTATTTGAATCAAAATAAAGTAAAGTAAAGGTACCCCTGCCCGTACGGGCCAGTCGTGTCCGACTCTGGGGTTGTGCACTCATCTCACTTAAAAGGCCGGGAGCCAGCGCTGTCCGAAGACACTTCCGGGTCAAGTGGCCAGCGTGACGAAGCTGCTCTGGCGAGCCAGCACCAGCGCAGCACACGGAAACGCCATTTACCTTCCCGCTATAAAGCGGTACCTATTTATCTACTTGCACTTAAGGGTGCTTTCGAACTGCTAGGTGGGCAGGAGCTGGGACCGAAAGACGGGAGCTCACCCCGCCGCGGGGATTCGAACCGCCGACCATGCGATCGGCAAGTCCTAGGCGCTGAGGTTTTACCCACAGCGCCACCCTTGAATCAAAATATTCATATTTAACTGCTACTGCTTTATGAAATGATGATTCTGGGAAACATGTAAAAGTAAAATTAATTTAGAAACCATACACTTGACTCTTCTTAGGATTCTGTAGCAGCCACACAATGCCCAATTATATATACAATACACACACATATATACGTATATGAAACAATTATTCACTTTATTTTTTTACTAATTATTTTGCTGCAGTAGCTTCTGTATAGCTGGCTGTCTCTGAATTTTTCTCACTGATTTTTTTTCCCAACAAGAGCATTAGAATTAGTCTTACTGAAATAAATTCAGGGGCAGACAGCTATATAACAAAGTGCAATCTATGAATAAAAATGTAAAATAAACTAATACATTTTAGATTGCTATTAATAGATTTACATTGCTGTAGTTTCTCTCTCTGAATCCTAGACTGCTAAAAGAAAAATATGGATAAAAATGCATGTTTCCCTTTACATATCTTCAGGCGCCAGGCAAAAGCATTCAATCAGTCCATGGCCTGGCTGTAAAAAAAACCCACCAACAGCCTTTTAAGCGTGTCTGTGGGAGGGAGGATATTGGCTTTTTGTTTCTTTGTTATGAATTTTGCGTTCTCCCTTGGGTTTTTTTGTGATCTTCAGGGGAAGGGTGGTATACAAATTCAAGGAAGAAACAACATTCCCGGGTGTCAAAAAAGACTATTTATGTATGCCACTACTGTGTGTTTCTGTGTGGGACGTGGGTGGTGCTGTGGGTTAAACCACAGAGCCTAGGACTTGCCGATCAGAAGGCCGACGGTTCGAATCCCCGCGACGGGGTGAGCTCCCGTTGCTCAGTCCCTGCTCCTGCCAACCTAGCAGTTCGAGAGCATGTCAAAGTGCAAGTAGATAAATAGGTACCACTCCAGCAGGAAGGTAAACGGCGTTTCCGTGCGCTGCTCTGGTTCGCCAGAAGCGGCTTAGTCATGCTGGCCACATGACCCGGAAGCTGTACACCGGCTCCCACGGCCAATAAAGCGAGATGAGCGCCGCAACCCCAGAGTCGGTCACGACTGGACCTAATGGTCAGGGGTCCCTTTACCTTTACTGTGTGTTTCATTAGCCCAAAAATGGAAAACGAATGAGGTCCCAACCAAAGAAGAGTGGCAACTTAAGTTGACAGAATACACGCAGTTTGCAGCCTTAACATATAGAATAAGAGAACAAGAAGAAGATACATTTAGAGAAGACTGGAAAACATTTGTTGAATACATGGGGAATAACTGTGTACAGCTGAAAACACTGGCAGTATTGAGATAAATTCAACAGTGTAAATAAGTTGTGATGGATGTAATAATGGAATACTGAATGGTATTGTTTCTGTAAAATATGCAGGGGTTTGTGATATGTAAAATGAACCATGGAAAGAGAAGAAAGGAAGCCACTGATATCTTAAGGATGTAAAATGAGTACTTTAAATTGTAAAACAGAAAATTTAATAAACAATTATACACAAACAAACAAACAAACAGCAGAATTCTAATTGCAAAAGGTTGGAAGGAAGAGGATATCCCATCTAAGTCAGACTGGCAAAATAAATAAAAGAGTACGCCGAACTGGCGAGATTATCAGCAAGGCTAAGAGACATTACAAATTAAAAAATGTTCAGAGAGTGGGATATATAGAGAGTCTCTGTAAAAGAACACTGTCAAAAGATCAATCCGTTGGCAGGTTTTGACTGAGCTTCAGTGTGCAAATAGGATAATTGTATAAAATAAAATGTATTGTAAGTCAAATAATATGGAGAAAGTAAAGTTTAAGCGGGTATTTAAGGAACGCAAGAGGAAGATCGGAGGGCTTGACAAATTTAATCACAAATGGATGTATGAAGCAAGAATGAGTTAAAGAATGAACAACCGTTTATTTTTATTTCTCATTTTGCCTATAATATCTATTGTACACTCCTGTTATTTCAACCAATAAAGCACTCAAAAGCAAAAGGGGGAAAAGAGAGAGATAAATTCAACAGTGCAAATAAGTTATGATGAATGTAATAATGGAATACTGAATGGTGTAGTTTAATGAACCATGGAAAGAGAAGAAGGGAAGTCACGGATGGAAAAATGAGTACTTTAAATTGCAAAAAAGAAAATGGATGTACAAAGCAAGAATGAGTTAAAGAATGAACAACCGTTTATTTTCTTTAATTTCTCATTTTGCCTATAATATCTATTGTACACTCCTGTTATTTCAACCAATAAAGCACTCAAAAGCAAAAGGGGGTCAAAAGGAGAGATAAATTCAACAGTGCAAATAAGTTATGATGAATGGAATAATGGAAAACTGAATGGTATTGTTTCTGTAAAATATGCAGGGGTTTGTGACATGTAAAATGAACCACGGAAAGAGAAGAAGCGAAGTCACGGATATATTAAGGATGGAGAAATAAGTACTTTAAATTGTAAAATAATAATAATAATAATAATAATAATAATAATAATAATAATAATAATATAATTAAAAAAGTAATTTCAAAAAATTATACACAAACAAACGACAGCAGCAGCCCAGGGGCCTCCGCCCGCCCCCTCCCCGCATAAGGACCGCAAGCGGGAGGCTCCTGCCCCGGCTCACCTCCGCGACGGCCGCGCCATCCCGGGACTCCGCTTCGGCCCCCGGCCGTTCGGAATCCGCGCGCGGAGAAGAGGCCGGAAGTGACGGCGACAGGAGTCCGGAAGTGACGAGAGGACGCCCGCCCCACCCGCGCGCTCGCCCTCTCTCTCCGGTGAGGAGAAGGTTGCGGGGACGGGAAAGTGGGCGGGGCGTGTCCTGGCCGACGCGGGGACTCGCGTCTCGTGGGAAAGGGGCATTCCGCCGAAGGAGGGCAGCGAGCGGGTTCAGGAGCGGGTGAGTCTGTGGGGGTTTTTCCTTGTGTTCTCCAAGGCAGACGCGGATTCCCGGGCTGCTTCCGTGTCGCCTCAGGCGAAGGCCGGGTTGGGGAGGGAGGGAGGGAGGGAGACTCTTTTTCCTCCCAAATAATGTTTATTAAGTTGCTTACACATATAACACATACTGTAAAACAGATGAAGCAAAAATAAAAAAGAACAAGGGAGATATAAAACAAATACAACAAATAGCTACAAAGAAATATGAACAATACAAATTGATTAATTACTTAAACTTCCAACCTCATAAACATATTGCTTGACTTCCTCCAGTCCTTCCCATCTGAATTTCCTTGTAACTGGAGGTAGCAGTTTTCCAATATCATTATTCAAAAACAATATTCTATTTATAATCAAATGTATTAACTTTTCTGAACATCATTTATTTAATTAAATCTTAATTTAATCCTAGACCTAATTGGTACTTTCAAGTAATTTCTAATTCTTAATATTACAATATTTATTCAAAACAAAAAAATTCCTTCCAGTAGCACCTTAAAGACCAACTAAGTTAGTTCTTGGTATGAGCTTTCGTGTGCATGCACACTTCTTCAGATACACACTATTTATTCAAATAGTCATTAGATTTCTTCCAATCTTCTTGCTATTCCTCTTCTTTCTGGTCGCGGATTCTCCCAGTGAGGTCAGCCAGCTCCATAAAGTCCATCATCTTCATCTGCCATTCTTCCACGGTTGGTAGTTCTTGTGTTTTCCACTTTTTGGCTATTAAAATTCGAGCAGCAGTTGTGGGAGGGAGGGAGACTCTTTGCTTAGACGAAACTTCGCTTGTCCGAAAGAAAAAAGAACCCGAGGAATGCCTGCAGTTTTGGTTTGCTGTAATGTAACGGGTGTTATAAACGCGTGTCATGAAGGAGGAAACCAGGAACCGCGCCTGGTTCCCCGGGGGGGGGGGGAGACGGACTTGAATAAAATATTTGGGGGCCCAGACAAGACCCGCCCTGCACAATTGATCGCAAGATGGGGCACCCCCAGTGCCGGATTTACATATAAGCTAAACAAGCTATAGCTTAGGGCCCCACTCTCTTGGGGGGCCCCAAAAAATATAAAGGGGGGAACACAGCAACAGTGTTTGTGTGTTGTGTAGGCTCCTGTGATGTAAGCAATGGGCCCCGCCTGCTAGCCTGCTCCCTAAAATATCACTGCTTTGCTCATTTCTATAGGAACTTTTGTTATTGCCAAATGCCACTGTGTTTGCATTATTAAGTTTGTTTATGAATAAAAAATCATGTTAAGTTAGAGCTTAAGAATTATTTCACTACTAATATAAAAGGTAAAGACACCACTGACCGTTAGGTCCAGTCGCAGATGACTCTGGGGTTGCAGCGCTCATCTTGCCTTACGGCGTTTGTCCGCAGACAGTTTTTTCCGGGTCATGTGGCCAGCATGACTAAGCCGCTTCTGGCGAACCAGAGCAGCGCACAGAAACACTGTTTATCTTCCCGCCGGAGCGGTACCTATTTATCTACTTGCACTGATGTGCTTTCAAACTGCTAGGTGGGCAGGAGCTGGGACTGAGCAACGGGAGATCACTCCATTGCGGGGATTCGAACTTCTGATCGGCAAGCCCTAGGTTCTGTGGTTTAGACCGCAGCACCACCCGCGTCCCACTATTAATATACTTCTTAAATGTATTTCAGTTCAACCATTACTTTGATAAAATGCATATTTTGTTACGTGCAAATGGCTTTAAATACCTATTAGGTCCATAGATTACCATATACTGCATATATTCAACACAAAAAAGAGCCACAATTTCTTGTTGACACAGCTGGACATATAAAGGGCCCCATTACCTCCAGTAACTTAGGGGCTCATAAAACCTAAATCTGACCCTAGGCGCCCCACTTGAATGGCAACGCCCTCTGATATTTTATTGGGGATGCCCTCCTGTTTTCCCCACCATAAACCCATGAGAAGAACCCCTGCAGGATCAGGCCAAAGGGAGGCCCCTCTAAGCCTAGCACCCTCTTCTCACAAGGGCCGACCAGATGACCATGGGGGACCCTTGGGAAGAGCCCTCCCTCTTCTCCCGCCAGGGGTCTCCAGCAAATGATCATTCAGAAGAATTGATTCTCTTGGGACAGAGACCAAGATACACAATGTCCTGTGTGGAATTGGGAGAGTGGGGGGGTTCCTGCTGGTGGATCTCTTGCTGGCAGGTTCCTAGTGCCCCATTAAGCAGCTGCTACTTTTCTTGTGAATGATTCTGGCCAGGATAGACCATAAGCAAACTTAATTCAATTGTCAGTTGGTTTCTGAAATGTAAAATATTGTGTATGGGGGGGAGAGTTACAGCCCTTCACGGCTTAGGACCCTCGTACCTACGGGACCGCCTCTCCCGGTATGCCCCACGGAGAGCCTCAAGTTACATAAATAGCAACACCCTAGTGGTCCCGGGCCCTAAGGAAGTTAGATTGGCTTCAACCAGAGCCAGGGCCTTTTCAACACTGGCTCCAGTCTGGTGGAACGCTCTGCCTCATGAGACCAGGGTCCTGCAGGATCTGATTTCTTTCTGCAGGGCCTGTAAGACAGAGTTGTTCCACCTGGCCTTTGGCTTGCAGCCAATTTGATTGCCTCCCCTCTTTCTTTTTTCTTTTCCTTTCTCCTCCTGTGATGAGGCTGCATTTTAATATTTTAATGTTTCAATATTTTAATGTTGTATTTTAATCTTGTTTTTAAGTTTTAAGTATTCATTCAACTTGTTTTTATTATTGCTTGTTAGCCGCCCTGAGCCCGGCCTTGGCTGGGGAGGGCGGGGTATAAATAAAAATTATTATTATTGCTAATAATAATAATATTAATGTGTTTAATTGTGAGGTGGCTGTTGGGTGGCTTTTTTGTTTTTCTTATGTATTTTGTGGTTTTATATCTTGATTTTATTCTGTGAACCGCCCTGAGACCCCTGGGTATAGGGTGGCATATAAATTCAATTATTAATAATAATACATATCTATTGTAAGTTACATAAAACTGAAGCCAGCCCATCTTCTAAACACTGTAGGCTGTGGATGCCAATACACTTTCTTCTACATGTACCCTGCTCCCCCCAGTAGGCTGGAGCCATCAACCCTGCTTTTATGTTTAAAAGATGAGGTCACCAAAAATTGGAGTCTTAAGATGCAGCAGCCCTGTTGTAAAACACCCTGTCCAAACAGGCCTGCCCAAGGCAACCTCTTGAGCTTGTACGTATTTCCTAAAATGTATTTAACTCCAGAAGCTATTTGAAAGGCTTAAAGAAACACATAAAACTATGTGTGTTGAAGTGGTTTTATATGTATTGGAAATGGGACTTACAACAAAATGTTGTTGCATATTCTCACCCCTAACAGAACTGTTTCTATTCAAAATAGTAGCTAGTTGTTCCCTCCTCTAAGATACTAAAATCTTTTTCGGAAGGTTATTTTAAACTACTTTGTAGAAGTTTTAATTCTATTATGATGTTTGCCTTCCTTGATTCCTTGAAGGAGTGTGTGAAGGAAGTTGCAAAGACCTCATTCCATCCCATTTTTGTGACTTTTGGGGTAACTTCCAGGTTCAGTGCAATGCATGTGTGCACTGTCACATACATATTAAAAGGTAAAAGGGACCCCTGACTATTAGGTCCAGTTGTTGTGGCGCTCATCTCGCTTTATTGGCTGAGGGAGCCGGCGTACAGCTTCTGGGTCATTTGGCCAGCATGATTAAGCCGCTTCTGGCGAACCAGAGCAGCACACAGAAACACCGTTTACCTTCCCGCCGGAGTGGTACCTATTTATCTACTTGCACTTTGACATGCTTTCGAACTGCTAGGTTGGCAGGAGCTGGGACAGAGCAACAGGAGCTCACCCCATCCTGTGGATTCGAACTGCCGACCTTCTGATCTGCAAGTCCTAGGCTCTGTTGTTTAACCCACAGCGCCACCCGCGTCCCCACACACTTATTAGATGTGCCTAAAATGGTATCTGTCTGTACTTTGTTTGTAAACTTCATTTTTTAACTGGAGGTTGCAATTGCCTTATCAGATCTTTCAAACAAACAAACCCACCACTTTAAAAATAAACAACAGTGGTGCTATTCTGTGAATGTGTCCTGTTTTAGTACACGGAACATCTGGCAAATCTTATTTACTGCTATATTAATTTCTGCAGGGTGAACAAAATAAGAAAATACCTTATTTTTTAACAAATGTGAATGTTTTCAATCTCCTTTTTTGTTTTACTTTTTAAAAATTCACTTACTGGCTCCCCTCCCCTTCCTGTGTGTTTGTGTAAAGATATAACAGTAATAGCATTCTCCTTTTGCTTCAATGCAGGAAGCCTTTGAAATGAAGGGGGACCAAGGAACAATCTGTAGTAAGGAGAGAGGGTTTCTGTATGAATTCAGGGCTGGAAACCAACATTTTGTGCTTACAGTTCCTCTGAAATTCCCAGTTCAAGAAAGTGCTACCCATTTGCATAGACATCTGATGCGTCCTTACAACTTGCCATGCTTCATAGAAAATGGTAAGGATTTATTCTATACCATCAAACATAGACTTTCTCACAGTTGCATAGGGCCTCAAAAGAACTTGGACTTCACATAATGCCATCTGCAGACATCGGAGGGAGATACATAGGTGGCCCATTGCACATGCAAAACTCTGTTTTTGGGTGTAGGGAAGTTGAGGCTATAACTCATAGCTGCTTATTTTGCCCTGCAGATCCAAGGGCGGGGGCGAAACTCCTGTTGCGTATTCAGTCACATCATTTGGATAAAATGACCCACAAGATACTGTGATCACTTAAAATAATGGAATAATCACTTTAAAAGGGGCATTGTGTGCCACAGTGGCTAATAAACTGTGTGCTTTATAGACATATTATCTGGATGGCATGGGATACATTCATGTGATGAATTGCACTGTGTTTAGCCCAAGACAGAGATAAGGGACTGGCATTTGTTGGAGTTCTACTCCCTTGTGCTTGGGTTTTTCTTTAACTCAGCCTTACTAGCTTTAATATTTATCTCAGCTTTCCTCCCCTCCTCTTTAAAAAGTCAGTGGGGGAGGGCTTCCTTCCCTCCCTTCTCTGAGCTCTTCCTCCTCCCTTTTTTCTGCTGTGGGAATGATCCCTCCACCTGTGAAGCAGACCACCAAACTGTAATGTGTAAAAATATTAAATCGGATATGAGGGATTTGAATACCAAATGTGTGGAACTTACAACCTTTGTTATGAATGTCCTCTTAGTAACCATTAAAAAATTGAATTTACCCTTTATAATGACTGTAAATTAAAAAGATAAGCATTTCAGTTGATGGGTGGCCCCCCAAAAAAACCTGCCATTATTTCAGATTTAAAAGAATCCCTGAATAGATTCATTGAGGAGGAATCCATAAAAGATCACGATGAAGAAGCAGAAGCAGCCCTGGAAGCGGTAAAGTCTGGCAAAGTAGATTTACACCAACTGGCAAATGCTTGGGCCAAAACTTATACTGAGGTAAGAAGTCTCCATAGCATTATATATGCTTCAGAAGATGATGCTGGAACTTATTTTTGTAGCATACTCATTCTTTACTGGATATTTCACTCTCTGATTAGAAATACATAAAGCAGCTACTGTTGTTTTGGCTCCATCAGGATCCATGCTCAGAGAATGAGTTTGCTTTTCCATTGTTCAGTGATTTGCCTTCCTCCCTTCTCTGGCTCTAACAAATGATGGTTAATTTGAACATAAACTACTTCGCAAGGCATTACCAACTAATTATTGCTAGAAGGCTGATTAAGTTTTCATCTTTGGCTTATGCCTTCCATTTTTCTGCTATTACAGTGGTACCTCAGGTTACATATGCTTCAGGTTACATACACTTCAGGTTACAGACTCTGCTAACCCAGAAATAAGTGCTTCAGGTTAAGAACTTTGCTTCAGGATGAGAACAGAAATCGGGCTCTGGCGGTGCAGCAGCAGCGGGAGGCCCCATTAGCTAAAGTGGTGCTTCAGGTTAAGAACAGTTTCAGGTTAAGTACGGACCTCCGGAACGAATTAAGTACTTAACCTGAGGTACCACTGTACATGAATTGCTTTTTAGTTTGTTTGCTTTTTTCCTTTTGTAACAAACACTGGCAAAAATGTTATTAATGCATTATATATTAGATACTTAAGAACTGTGTGTGCTTCCACAGAATCTTTTAAGTACAGTGGAACCTCTACGGACGTAATCCGTTCTGGAGGTCTGTCTGTAAGTCGATCCAGGTCGCTGGTAGTGCCGTTGTGTTCAGGCGCATTCGGTGGCAGCGCACTTCTGCGCATGTGCAGACGGCGGCAGCCACTTCTGCACGTCCACGAATCGCGGCAAACCCGGTATTTACTTCCAGGTTTGCCGTGGTCGCGACTTGGATCGGGCCCAAGTAGAGGCAGTCGTAAGTAGTTCTACTGTAGTTGGTAGCACATGAATGGATTTAAGGTAAAGGTAAAGGTACCCCTGCCCGTACGGGCCAGTCGTGTCCGACTCTAGGGTTGTGCGCCCATCTCACTTAAGAGGCCGGTGGCCAGCGCTGTCCGAAGACACTTCACGTGGCCAGCGTGACAAAGCTGCATCTGGCGAGCCAGCACAGCACACGGAAACGGTGTTTACCTTCCCGCCAGTAAGCGGTCCCTATTTATCTACTTGCACCCGGGGGTGCTTTCAAACTGCTAGGTTGGCAGGCGCTGGGACCGAGCAACTAATAGCTAATAGGAATTTATGAAAAGTTTACATAGAGTTGATTCTGCCATGGTGTTCCCTAATCAAATTCAAGTTCTCACAGATTTCCTTTCATAAATCTTGTTTCTCCAGGGACTATTGGCATCAACTTCCAAATTAAGAATCATAGTTCTGAATCAAAGCCCCTTTTTGACGGATTACCTGAGATCAGAATCTTAAAACTATGTGACACCTCTTGGGAAACTATGGCCCAAATCAGGGATCACCAACCTTTTTGAGCCAGTTGGCAAAATTACTGAAGTGCCTTTTTTGCACTTAGCATTTTGTTGGAGCATAAAAAAACGCTTCATTTGAGTTATTGACGGTTGCTATACAAGAATGAATGAGGGAGAGATCACCAGTTTGCTAGTTATGGCTGCTCCATGGATTCTGAACCATGGAGGCAAAATCTTCAAGGGAAAACCCACAAATTTTATCGAAACAAAAATGTCCCACTGGCAACCAATCAGTATAACAATTAATTTTTATTTTATTTTTGAGTTTTCGTGTGTAGGGCCGATTATCATCATTTTATAATTTTCCAGGCAACGTTGGAATATGCAAGACCTGAAGACCCAAGCTGGGATGAAGATTTTGCAGATGTCTATCATGATCTTATCCATTCTCCTGCTTCTGAAACACTGTTAAATCTGGAACACAATTATTTTGTTAGCATCTCTGAACTGATAAGTGAAAGAGATGTGGAACTGAAAAAATTACGAGAAAGGTGATTTTTTTAAACTTGGCATTTTCTGTTAGTCCTAAAATTAATATAAAGAGAGAAGAAATTAATCTGGTGTGTGTTATTTTTCTAAAGAACTACCAGAGATTTAAATACTGTAAGGAACCGAATCACAGACAGTTGATTTTCTTTTTTGAACGCACCTCCTTTTTTAATGTACTGTTCCTGCCGAAGACAGTTTTTGAAGTTTACCTTTGCCAGAGAGTTGAGTGTGTGTGACACTGTTGATTAAAAACAAATCTGCAGTCTTTTACAAACTTAAAAGTAATGGCCATGGAAGGGTCTTAATAAGCCACCTTATGAAGTAGATAGAACTAGTTTTAGGGTCATAGTTCTTAGGATCCTGGCCACTAGCTGTGTAGTATGGAATTTTCTGGAAACACTTCATGGGGGCAGGTCACTATTTCACACATTTAACTTGCGCGATCTCAGCTTCACACACTTGGTGGCTAGGCAGCTGATCCTGCACAAATAAAATTCACGCAAGGTAGACGGCTTAAAAGATCTTTCTGTGGGCGGTTTTCCCCGCTGGGAAGAGAGAGCTTTTAAGCTTGTCAGATTTGCTTCCTGAGCTCTGGGAAGGTCTCACACAGGCTCTGTAAACCTCCCTACCTTTTCAAAGGTGCGAGATCACATTCACCCAGTGCTTTTCCAGCTGCACTGGCTCCCGGTGGAGTACAGGATCAGGTTTAAGGTGCTGGTTTTAACCTTTAAAGCCCTATACGGCCTAGGACCCTCGTACCTACGGGACCGCCTCTCCTGGTATGTCCCACAGAGGAACTTACGGTCTTCAAACAAAAACATCCTGAAGGTCCCAGGCCACAGAGAGGTTAGGCTGGCCTCAACTGGAGCCAGGGCTTTTTCAGCTGTGGCTCCGATCTGGTGGAACGCTCTGTCACAAGAGACTAGGGCCCTGCGGGACTTGACATCTTTCCGCAAGGCCTGCAAGACAGAGCTGTTCCACCAGGCCTTTGGTCAGGGCACAGCCTGACTCCCTCCTTTGGTAATCCTCACAGAACTTTAGCACAATGGTTGCCATCAATTTGATTTGAATTAATTTTATAATGAAATGATTTTAGAATGTTGTACTATTTTTTTGTTGTTAGCCTCCCTGAGCCCGGCTTCGGCTGGGGAGGGCGGGATATAAATAAAATTTATTATCATTATTAAGAAAGCCTATGCTAAATGGATATTGCAGCATGTAAACTGCCCTGCCCCATCATCTTGCCATGCTGGCTGCTGCAGTTCCAAACATCTGGAGGGCAGCTCACATAATGGCAGGGACAGGAGACAAACCATTTTTTGGTGGCAGAAACCCTGTCGCGAACTCTCCCCCAAGGGAAGTTTGACACCCCCCCTTTGGTGGTTTTCATTCCACCAAGCCTTTAATGGTTTTTAGTGCTGATTGTCTTTTATGCTCTTCTTCAAGATGCTGCTTTTAATATATTTATTCTCAGCTTTTCTTCTATTTACATATTGCTTATGGTGCGGGGGGGGTGGTCTCTTGTCAGGGCTAAATTGTGATGCATAACTATTTTTTACAAACAAAATTTTTCTGACTAGCTTTTTATTGTAGGCAAGGTGCTGAAATGGATAAAGTGATGCAAGAACTGGGGAAGTCATTGTCGGATCAAGACGTAAACATGCTGGCAGCACAACACTTTGAATCCCAGCAGGTAAATGAAGTACCTGGTTGGAATAAATTGGGCAGCTCATTTGTTGTTAATCAATTGGCTGACTCAATGTCTCCTTTTAGGCTTTGGAGAACAAGTGGAACAATGAACTGAAGCAAACGACAGCTATCCAGAAACAGGAGTATCAGGAATGGGTGGTGAAGCTTCATGAGGATCTGAAAAACCCCGGCACCACTCTCGGGTACCCTTCTTTCTTAGTTTTCTTCTTAAATTACTGATTAGGGATTATATCTGTTAGTTACTAATTAGAAGGAGCAGATTAGGGATGTTGGGGTCCGTCGCTTCTTCTGGCCAAATGTTGAATCTAGTCCTGGATTAATTTATGAAACTGTTAATTCCATAGCTGGATTAATTTATGGAACTGGAGCAGCTGGAAGCGGCAAAGAGGGAGATCCCAGGCCGCCCCTGCGTTAAATGGAGCAGGCCACGCCCCCCAGGCCAGCCGATTGGCTGGCCAGGGAATGATGCAATCGGGATTCCCTCAATCGCGCGGAGGTTGAGAGCCAGCCCCCACGCCCATGGTGGGAGGGTGAAGCCCGCAACCCCACCTCCTTCTAGGTCGGAAGTGGCTTTCTGGCCAAATGTTGAATCTAGTCCTGGAATAATTTATGGAACTGTTATTTTATTTTAGTGTAGAAAATCCACACCCTAATGTGGACTAAAAGCACACAGGAGGTGGGAGAGACCCCGATACGATGTTACTCTGTTACAACAAAGGGGTCTGCTTGTGTTGCAAGATCAGCACCAGGGACGTAAATATGAAGGTGGCAGCTGGTTGCCTGTTGGCGGAGTTTCTGTGTGCTGCACTGTTTGTTTTAACAAAGTGCTCAAAGTGGTGAGCACAGCGCTTCCCCTACCCACAACCCTGTGAGGTAGGTTGGGCTCTCTGTAGCTCTGCCCCTGAAGCTGTTGCAGTTCACATGGTTAGGGTAAAATGCCTGTTCCTGTCAAATTAATAAATACGGAGGCAGTGGGGGACAGAAAGCTTAGTCTGGCGTCATTTTCTTTTTTTCTTTTTTATTTCAGTGATGAAATAAATGTCCAACCCAATCAGTGGAGAGAATCTGCAGAAGGCAATGGGAGGCTTTTTGAAGACCAGAGACAGCTGGAAGAAAGTTTCACTATTCATCTGGGTAAGTGAACGATTGAACGTCTAGAGCTTTTTCTCACAGCCACGTTTTCATTCATTTCCAGATTGAACATGTTTGTCCACATATCCATATTCAATGGCTTAACACACATACAGACCACAAATTACCAAAATTTGAAACATGTTTTAAGTTGTGATCTAAACCTATCTTGGTAACCACATCAGTGAGTGGTATTGATTAAAGGTAAAGTTAAAGGTACCCCTGCCCGTACGGGCCAGTCTTGACGGACTCTAGGGTTGTGCGCTCATCTCACTCTAGAGGCCGGGAGCCAGCGCTGTCCGCAGACACTTCAGGTCACGTGGCCAGCGTGACGAAGCTACTCTGGCGAGCCAGAGCCGCACACGGAAACGCCGTTTACCTTCCCGCTAGTAGGCGGTCCCTATTTATCTACTTGCACCCAGGGGTGCTTTCAAACTGCTAGGTTGGCAGGCGCTGGGACCAAGCAACGGGAGCGCACCCCGCCGCGGGGATTCGAACCGCCGACCATGCGATTGGCAAGTCCTAGGCGCTGAGGTTAACCCACAGCGCCACCCGCGTCCCGTGGTATTGATTACAACTTATGAAAAAGGTTGTGCAGATATTCCATCACTAAGTTTACTTAGTGTAAAGCAAGTTTCGTGCACCAGCAAAAGTAATTCATTTTGGAAATCGCATCAGTGATGACTAATGTGTCTTCTCTGATAGCCCAAATGATTTTCTAAATGCGAATGGACCCAAAATGGGTTTATTTCAAATAGACAGCTGCTAAAACTGTCTGATTTCCCCTGAAGTCAAATTATTGTTTTCTAGATATTTTTGTATTCCACCTTCCTCTGTTATGGATTGAGTTGCTTGATATTGCTGCAATGTTAGCAGACTTGCTGCTATCTCTCTCTGAACTGGTGTACTTTGCCTTCACCAGAACATTGCTACACTATGGTTAAGTAAATTTCTTTTCTGATCTGGGGTGAGTCTACTGGGCTTATTTCACTATACATATCTCTGTTCTTTCACAAGTTACTAAGAGAATGTATATGTTCACCTTTGGGGAGAGAATGTGTGTGGTTTGATATTAGAAGCTAACAGTAGTTAAACGTCTTTAAACTGAGACACACAGTATAGCTCTGGTCTTTGCTATTGCTCCCTCTATATGTGGGATGAGATAACTGATTTTATAGTGTGTTTTAGATTAGCTTTAGCAGTAAAGTCAGATTATCTGGACATGCTTATTCCGAGGTGATTTGTGCTCCTTTTGGTCCTTCTCCCACTCCCTGTCTCTCGCACCCACATCTTATTTTTTCCTCCTGCCTAGGAGCCCAATTGAAAACGATGCATAACTTGAGACTGCTGAGGGCAGATATGCTAGACTTCTGCAAGCACAAGCGCCATCACCGCAGTGGAGTCAAACTCCACAGGCTTCAAACGGCACTGTCGCTTTATTCAACTTCTCTTTGTGGCCTGGTCTTGTTAGTGGATAATCGCATCAGTTCATACAGTGGGATCAAAAGAGGTAAATCGTCCTCAATGAATTGGATTTCTTCCTGTTGAGTTCAGGTCAAGAGTTATAAAGCTACTTCCTTTTTTTGCCTGAACTAACATATAATTGATCATTTGACAGCCACCTCTCATTCGATATAATGAAGTGCATCACACAGACAAATAGTTGTTAGTCCCACTTGTAAGAATGAAAAATGGGATAAATAACATTCTGTTTAGCTGTAAATTAACACTATTCAGTAGTCAGGTTTGCACCCTTTTTTCCTTGCTGGTTTTAAATCATTGGTTTTTAATTTAAATCGAAGCCCTCCTGCATGCTAGAACCTTTCCCCGACACCTCGTCTTCTGTGTGAAGGGAATGTTTTTACATAGAAAAGTATTCAGTCGTGTGAACTTCTGGCTCATAAATCAGGTTCTTCTCCACTGAGATCTACGATCTTTCTTTCCTTTCTTCCAGATTTTGCAACAGTTTGCCAGGAGTGCACGGACTTCCACTTCCCTGGGATTCAGGAGCAGCTTGAAGTTGTTCAGCAGGTTGTACTTTATGCCAGGGCACAACGCAGCAGTAAATCCAAGAGACTGCATGGTTAGTACTAGTTGTAGCGATTTCTAGTGTCCTTACCAGTAAAAACAAGGGAAATAAGCATTTCAAGAGTGTCATTTAAGAATACATTCCTGCACACAGAATTTTTGTTTTAATTCTCGAGTTTCAATTGATCGCTGCTGCTTGAGTTACGTATAAATGTTCCAGTTGCTTCTTCCTTGTTTGTGTAGAAAATAATTTGATCTTTCCTTGTGTAACACCAAGATACATTCAGTTACAAATGATATACTATTTTTTTTTTATTTTTTTTTTTGTCATCTACAGATTCAGGAAACAGAAACAATGGCAGTGAAGATAAATCTAAGAACGTAGAACAAAACCTATCAAATATTTTGCCTGGTACGTTTAGTTATGCAGTTTGTTCAGTTAGATGCGTTCCTTGCTAGAATTCATATTGCAGTCTTTTTTAAATTCCTGTGTCAATTTATCATTCAAGGCTACTTGCCAAATATGCTTTAACTGAAAGGCACCCCAGAGTTTTCAAGTGCTAGGCAATTTTGAGATGGGCCGCAACCAGTAACCCAATTTAAGGTCTCTGTGAATTAAAGAATGATTTGTGTCATCTTGAAGCACAAAGGGAAGAAAAGCCAACAAAGGTTCTGGTTTAATAGGTTGCTGTGTGATTTGGGTAAATACTATCTTCCAAAAATCTGCCACTCTGGCATAGTCCTCCACAGGTGAAAAAGCACTTCCTTAACCTGACAAACCCACCAACAATATGTGGAGAGACTCCAATGAATATAATTCAGGTGAAGGAGTCCTGTGCCATCAGGCTAGTCTCCTGTACTTTAGCAGAGATAGAGTGTAAATGAGGTCAAGATCACGTAGCTTTCCATTCAGCTTCAGTTATTTTAATATTCACGTCCTCCCGTAGCTGACAAGATTCAGAGCAGTCTGGGTATTGGAAATAACAGCAACATTTTATAAATTTCCAAAATAGCCCCCTCTCTCATAGACTAGTGTCTCTCATAGACTTTCAAACATTGTCAGAGATTGAGGAGGACCATAACTGACAGAGTAGACTTGGGCTTTCTGAAACCAGGAAACTTTTATACCTTATAGTAAGGAATCCAGCATTTTTTTCTAAAATTTGTTTGTTTTGTCAAATTTTTCTACTGTGTGGTGCCCTTTTCCTTCCAAACCAGAGAACTGAGAGTAGTTATCGGGGGTTTTAAAATTTAGGTGGTTTTTTAAAAAGTAGAAGTGAGGATGTAAAAGGACTGAGCTTTTGGCCCGTCTCTTCCGTGTCGTGTCAGACTCAGGAAAGAGTTTTTAAAGTGAAGCAGAGATGGCAAGGCAAAGAGGCAGGGAGGAAAGCATGTTGTTTCCATTGAAACACACAGGAATTTTTAGCATTACAAGTCAGTACTTGTAATAGTTAACCTAATTGACAGGAGTCAGAATAAAAACTAATGACATTCCAGATCTCTTACGCTGTTCACTAAAGGATTCAAAAATATTCTGCCACTTTTTAAAAGCAGAATCAGATATATACCTGGGAAGAATTTAGAATAAGAACATAAACTTTGGCAGAATCGTTGTTTTCAAGGCTGCTATATGCCCAAGCCAATATAAATTGAGAGTGGTCCAACTTATAATATCTTTCTCAATAGAAACTGCCAAAGGAGTAAAATTGTGTTTCACAGTCAAGAAGTTACAATCTCAAATGAATTTGTAAGTCCACTGTTGCACTGCCTTGTTTTGACTATGTTCTATTTGTCCACACATATAAATGTTAAATAGCATGGGGTACATTTTTACACTTTGCCATATAATCTTGCCAAAAAACAACATGAACTATATTTAATTCTTACCTAATAGAACACATCTGATATCCAGAATTGGGATCTGATGCTAAAATACTTTCCGACATTTTACTCCTTTCATAGGTTTGGTTTTAAATTTATCACTAAACTTCTTATAACATTTTTCCCTTAGGAGAATTTTACATCACCCGTCATTCAAATCTCTCTGAGATTCATGTTACTTTTCACCTCTGTGTGGATGATAATGTGAAGTCAGGTAATATTACTGCCCGGGATCCTGCAATAATGGGCCTACGAAATATCCTCAAAGTGTGTTGCACACATGACATCACCACAGTTAGTATTCCTCTTCTGCTGGTACACGATATGTCTGAGGTAAGCAACTTATCACCAGTGACTTATTGTTCTTGTTTAACAATATTGTGGCTGACCCTGCTAGTCTAGACCTGCTAGTTTCCTAAAGTTGTAGGAATCGACCCACAGTCAATAAAGACCTAGGAGTCTAAGGGTTCCTGGAGCAGAAAAACGGTTTACAAGATATAATGTGAAAAACCTAATTGGGAACTGTGATCTTCAGAAATAAAGGTCATGGGCATATACAGAGTGCATCTCCTTTGCTACCGAAAAGCCTCTATATTTAACAAGATTTCACAGTGCAGCAGTGTTCTCAGACCATACTATATTGCTTTTAAAAAAGTATACAGGTGAAGAGTTTCAGTTTTAAAACCATTGTGAGGTGTGTGGGGTTTTTTTGCAGTATCAAAAGGAAAATTCTTTATTTCCTCCAAAGATAGAGGTATAAAAGCAAGCTGCCTTCTGGAAAACTTCAAGGACCTTTTAAAAAGGCTTTGGAGCTTGGCTTCAAAGCCACATTCCCACGCACCCCCATCACCACAAACACATACTTCAGGCCTCCTTGGTGCTGCTTAACGCCATCATTTTAAAAAGTTCTCGACACCGTTTGAAAACCTGTGTTAAAAATGGGAGGAGGAGCAAGCACTCTCTCCCACAATTATTTTTTCTCCTATCCCAAATGCAGTAGGCACATAAGTAAGATACTCACATTTTGTTCACTGGTATTCTGCCTCCCTCTTCCTGCTTGCTTAGGGTAGCTAGCCTAGCTAGTACACACATTCATGGGGCTCTGCAAAACGTGGTGTGTTCTGTCGCTCAGTAGGCACATCCTGCGAGGAAATAGCTCTGGGCGCAGTCAGAATTTAGAATCGATTCTGATTGACTTATTACGGCTTGATAATACCTGCCCTCTCTGGTTTATTAATAGGATTTTGTGCTGTGTGCTCATTCAAGTATTGTGATTGGCGTGATTATTAATACATGGCAACTTCTGCTATTCAACAAAAACACAATTGCCAAGCGTTCATTGGCTTTTATCTGGCAGTATGTTGCATCATGATCCTAAGAAAAAATGTCACCGGTATTCACAAGAATACAGTGGTACTTCTAGTTACAGACTCGATCCGTTCCAAGGTGCCGTTCGCACCCCAAAAAGTCCACAACTAGAGTGCCGCTTACGCGCACAGCATGATAAAGCGCTTCTGCACATGCGCGCCTGGGGTGAAACCCGGAAGTTTGTATCCTGAAAAAACACAACTGGAGACTGACGTAACAAGAGGTACGACTGTACTCGAAAATGGGATTTCTCTGTTAGCCTACTGACATATGCCCATGTGTGTGATATGTGAAAATGCATATCAGAATGATGGGGACCCTCCAGAGAAACGGGGAAAATTTGTGACCCCCTCCTTAAGAACAACTCTCTTGGTGTGGAATGAGGGGAATTTGGTTTTCACCCAGGAATGTCTCCACTCACCCTGATATTGGATCACCCTGCTTTTTGACTCTTGGATAATATCAGCAGTTCCAGGCCTGGGAATAAATGGGAGTCTATAGAATGGGTGCCATTAAGGAGGAGGTTCTAATTGCATTGCTAGAGAGGACCCTATCGTTCCTCCTGATAGGGTCACTGGGTTGGGCTCCAGCTCCACCTAGTGGACAGGCGGGAAGTGGGTGTCTCCTAATCAGCTTTTGCTCTCACTCATCACTCTTGGTCAGGGGTCAACAAAGTTGTTGTGGCTTGGGCCAGTTCACGGTCCCACAGACACTGCGGTGGGCCGGAGTGTGTGTGTGCACACATGCATGCATGCGCAAATGCTATTTCTGGCGCTCCTTCCAGCGCGGAGGAGGCATGCGCAGTTTCCCATTGGCTGCAGGAGCTTCCTGCAGCCAATGGGAAGCCGGTCAGCATCATGGAAGGCGGTTCCCACTGTGCTCCGTGCCAGCACACGGGAGCCGACCGAGCGGGCAGTGGGGGTCCCCGAGTGGGAGGCGGGGGTCCATGGGCCAGTTAAATGACCCCCATGGGCTGTTTGTGGCCCATGGACCTTAGGTTGCCAGCCCCTGCTCTTAGTTCTAGCTTATTCTACATTTTTCCCCTCTCCTCTGAAGCCCCTCTCCATCCATCTGTCATCCAGATCTTCCAACCTCCCTCCATTTGGAGTGGCAGCTTCCTTCCACCCTTTTCCACCTTTCCTTTCCTAAACATTTTTTTCAGCTTGTTTAGCTAAAAAATGAAGAAGAAAGGACATTCCCTCTTTCTCCTTCCTCTTCCTTTCCCTGCTCAACGGACTGTATTCAGGGAAGTGGACTTGGATCACAGCCTGCCCATGACCCATAGAGCCGTTCCACATGGTTCATGATCAGGCCCATGTCTTTCTTGGGTGCACATGTCTGTAATTCCCCTTGCCTGCACAAATTTCTACAGGGCAGCAGCCTCCAGCACTTGCTGAAGTGACCCCCCCCCCCCGTAGGCCACAAGCAAGATACAGTACCTTGACTAGGTATTGATACATCACCCAGGACTGGCTTGAGGGCCAGAGCACGATGGGGCTTTCACCTGGCAGTATATTGTGGGTGAAACCACTGCCGTCAGGTGTGGGCACCATCACACACTGGCCCTTAAACCAAGGGGGAAACGAGGCGCAGAGGAATGAGTTCCATTGGCCCTGGCCCCATGGCCGATGGAGCTTGAAACTCCCTCTGTGCAGTGGCTGCAAGTGCCACATAATGCTCATTCCTCACCTGCAAGAAAGCCTCTCCTCTTCCCAGAGGGGAGGTGGTGTGAGGGGGAACCGTTCCCGCGTCAGCAGGGGGGCGTGTTTGGTCCCCGGCTGCTGCCCCGCCCTGCAGTGGGCCAGCCAATAGGGTTGGCCTGGGGGCGGGGTTTCGCCGCATTCAAGCGGCCGCGGCAGCCTCCGTGCCTCATTCTGCTTCCTGGAAGACGTCGGATCCCCCGCCCACCCGCCCTTTAGGCTAGGTTTGTGCTCTTGACCTTGCCATGGACCTTGGTTGGTTTCCCGGGGGGCTGGTAAGGAGTTTTTGTCCATTTGGCTAAATTGGCACCAGCCTCTTGCTTTTTCGCTTACCTTGTAGCAATTCGTCACAACTTTTCCGGTTTTGGTGGTTAGGCATTGGAATATGTGTTGGGGGGCGGGGTGTGGCCATCACCTACCCGCCCCATTTTGGGTATTCCATTAAAGGAATCCGGCAGTTGTGGATCCTGTCTGACACCCTTGCTGGTGGCTAGGGCCATGGCACGACCCCCGGTGACATCAGGGGAAGCTTCCAGTTGTATTTGCATCAACAAGCTCCTCCCACTGGTTGTTAACCTTCAAATGACACCACCACCACCACCCCCGCTGCGCAGGTAGCTGAGAAGTATACCAGACCTCTACAGGGTAAACTCTTCGTGGCCTTTATGGATCTGAAATCAGCATTTGACTCCATCCCCAGATCCCAGCTATGGTCCAAATTGAGTCTGATTTTGCAGGACAAACGACTTCTCTTTCTTATAAAAGCCCTGTACAATGGAACCAAACTGCAGGTCCGATGCGGTCGACAGGTACAGCTATCGAACAGCATCGAGATGACTAGGGGGGTGAGACAGGGTTGTATTTTGGCCCCCACATTGTTTTGTCTATTCTTAAATGACCTAGAAGAGAACTTAATGGACCCAGATGGACACATTCCAAAAATAGGAATGAGAAGGACACCTTTGTTGTTGTATGCTGATGACGCAGCCATCATCTCGCGTTCCAGACCGGGCTTGAATTATCTGTTGAGGAAATTTTCTGATTACTGTTCTGGAAATGGTTTATCCATTAATTATGAAAAATCTAAAATTTTAGTCTTCAAAAGAAGATTCTCCCAGTCTAAATGGGTGCTGGATGGCCATAACCTTGAACAGGTAAAATACTTCAGTTACCTAGGGCTCACATTCCATCTTGGAAGCACCATTGGCAAACCTCCCTTCAAAAGGCGGAGATTACAAAGCTAGCCATACATAGATTCTTCTTCACAAAGGGCGGCAAATATGTTCCAGCAGCCTTAAGGGTTTTCAACGCAAAGCCCGTTTCCCAACTCCTGTATGCAGCAAATGTCTGGCATAATGGGGACCTGCCAAAGCTAGATGGCTTTCAGGCAAAATTTCTACGATCTCTGCTGCAGGTACCTAACTGCGTCCCCAACTCCGTACTTCTGTTGGAAGCTGGTGAATGCCCAATTTCAGCTAGAGCCTGGTGGGCTGCCCTAAAACATTGGCTCAGGATTTCAGTGTTTAATCTAGGGAAGGGTCTGTACCAACATTTGACCAATGAGGAATTTGTCAGCAAATGGCAGAAAACCATGGCTAAAAAAGCCACCTCTATTGGTCTGTCTCCCCCCCCCCCCAACTGTATTACCTGGGCGCCCAAAAGGTTTTAAAGCAAAGATTATGGGATAATACACACAGTGACTTGCGATCTCGGTCACACGCAGTCTGTAGTCCGCTGGCAGCAGGAGTTCAATATGGGTATGTCTTTGAGTTAACATCTTACATCAAAAACCTAACAGTACCTAACTATCGAAGGCTTTTCACCAAAGCCAGACAGAATGTCTTCCCCTCTGCAGTGCTGGATGGTAGGTCGAGAGGAGTTCCCTACCAGGACAGACTTTGCTCGTGTGCTCAAGACATCAATTCTTCTTCACAAAGGGCGGCAAATATGTTCCAGCAGCCTTAAGGGTTTTCAACGCAAAGCCCGTTTCCCAACTCCTGTATGCAGCAAATATTTTGTTACATTGTGCGAAGTATGAGCAGGCTAGGGCTGAACTGATACTACCCTTGCTGGTGCCTTTCCCGGGAAAATCATAGGCTCACTATGTCAGGTTCCTACTGGAAGACCGGACAAAAGCTAGAACGTTGGCAGTGGCAAAGTTTTTATCGGTGGTTGCAAGAACAAACGAGCCCTATATTCCAAAAAAAGTGCTTGAGTAACCTGGAGGTAGGCTGTATGAACTCTGTATTAATTTGTAATGTTTTGTTGGGTCTCTGGACCGTAATAAAGATTGATGATGATGATGATGATATAGGTAGTTTGATCCCTGATATATACCTGAGTATATATCCCTGAGTATATACCTGATATAGGTAGTTTGATCCAATGCCTAAGCCAATAACGCTCACATGCTGTAACCAATAAAAGTTGTGGCCTTTTTCAGCCTGTTAACTTAAAATACTTGTGTTCATGTCCATTACGTCTCCACTACGCGGGTTAGGGTCCTCGACTCACAAATCATTCTTTCATTGTGGCAGCACCTGTACTTTGGGTCTCCTTCCCTCTTGACTCCAGGCAGGTGCCTTTGCCAGTTGTTAAAACATTATTGTTTAGACAAGCCTGTCCATTGACGTTACCTTGTTTTAATCTCTCTTTAGTCTGTTGTTAATTTTAATTGTTTTTTGAATGTTTAGACTTGTTTTTGCCTGATTTTTATTTACAATTCTCAGATTTCTTGTAAACTACGTAGAGCTTTTATTACAATCCAACGGTGTATACATTTTGTTAAATAAGAGAAACAAACGGTGCTGTTCCTAAGAAGATTAATTTTATAGATTTAAATTCTGTGCCGTTCTCTGTGCCCCGGCTTATTTTTATTCTGTGCATACCCAAAATGACAAGTACACACGTTGTCATCCAAAGCAGTCATCATCCAAGTGTCACATCCTGTTTCTTCCAGAAAGCCTTTTATGGCATCATCTCGTAACCTCACTGACTGCCAAATGTGCTGCTAATTTCCCTTCAGAATAACAGGACCTTCCTTTTTAGAGTCTGGTTTTTATCTTCGCCAAGATCAAAACCACCGGCAAACACCCACGTTGCATGTGAGCAAGAGAGCGTGTGGGCAGATGAAATTACAATGGAGATCTAGTATTTCTTCCGCTAAGCCTGAAAAATCCCTATATCTGTATTCCGTTATCCCTTGCTACTCTTTCTGATTCATATATTACATAACCCCGAGGGCTAAGTAAACAGACGTTAAGGATTTGCATCATGAGAAAATTGATTCTAAATGTTTCCAGTTTACAAGATGTTTTGTGGTTTTACCTTCAGTCTGTATTTTATACATGTTCACTGAATCTAGGTATTTTAGTCTTGCTATCCTTGTAGGACATGGTGGGACAGATTTGGCTGCTTCCAAACAATGCGTCTGAAATTTAACCTGAATTTAACAGTTATTTATTTTATCAGATGTAAGCTTTGGCTTTCTATGCTAGGTCCTCAAGGTGGCTAAGTGAATAACGTCGAAAATACAACGTAAAACAAAAACCAGTAAAAAGCACAGATGGTAACTGATAAAGCAGCAAGATAAATGCAGTCATCAGCTGATATAAAGTGGTGTATTTTGAGAACCCAATAATGAATTTACAGGGCTTATTTATTAGCAGACTTATGAAATGATTGGGACCCTTAATGTGCTTTCGCAGTATGATGACATAGTGCATGGCAGGGGAGCAGATTTAATCACAGTATAGTTTGACTGTGGCGTGATAGAATCAGAGTCGGAGAGGATCTTTTAGGCCATGTAGTGCAACTCGGGACGCGGGTGGCGCTGTGGGTAAAACCTCAGCGCCTAGGACTTGCCGATCGCATGGTCGGCGGTTCGAATCCCCGCGGCGGGGTGCGCTCCTGTTGTTCGGTCCCAGCGCCTGCCAACCTAGCAGTTCGAAAGTGCCTCCGGGTGCAAGTAGATAAATAGGGACCGCTTACCAGCGGGAAGGTAAACAGCGTTCCGTGTGCTGCGCTGGCTCGCCAGATGCAGCTTGTCATGCTGGCCACGTGACCCGGAAGTGTCTCCGGACAGCACTGGCTCCCGGCCTATAGAGTGAGATGAGCGCACAACCCTAGAGTCTGGCAAGACTGGCCCGTACGGGCAGGGGTACCTTTACCTTTTAGTGCAACTCCCACTTGATAGAACTACATCATCCCCATGTCCAGCCTCTTCTTGAAGAGCTCTAGAAAGTGAGAACCCACAGACCTTCTAGAGACTTGGTCCCATTGCCCATTGTCTCACTGTTAAATGAAATGAGACTTGTATTAATAAAGATATTGGTGGAGGGCAAGCAACAGGCAGTGGTTTGGGGCAGGGATTGAGTGAGCATAGCAACCGTATATTCCATGAATTTGAGATGTTAAAGTTGGATGAATGAAGAAATGGTGACAGTTAACTTGTTGCAGTGGCTTATTAATTTGAGTCATTTGCTGAGTGTCTTGATCTGTATATAAAACACCTGCTATTTAATTGATAATTAATCAATTTTAATTTTTGTTTTTTATTTTAAGGAAATGACTATATCCTGGTGTCTGAAAAGGGCAGAGCTTGTATTTAAGTGTGTTAAAGGTTAGTAGCGCACAGTCATATTCTACATTTTTGGAAATGCCAATTTCAAGAGTAATGGGAACAGCCTTAACTCAGTGAGCACGTGCATTGCAAGCAAAAAGTTCCAGGTTCAATCCCTGGCGTCTCTGGTTACAAAGCTCAAATAGTACAGTTCGGAAAGACCTGAGACCTTTGATAGCACTTTGTTGTCGTTTAGTCGTGTCCGACTCTTCGTGACCCCATGGACCAGAGCATGCCAGGCACTTCTGTCTTCCACTGCCTTCCGCAGTTAAGTCAAACTCATGCTGGTAGCTTCGAGAACACTGTCCAACCATCTCGTCCTCTGTCGTCCCCTTCTCCTTGTGCCCTCCACCTTTCCCAACATCAGGGTCTTTTCCAGGGAGTCTTCTCGTCTCATGAGGTGGCCAAAGTACTGGAGCCTCAGCTTCAGGATCTGTCCTTCCAGTGAGCACACAGGGCTGACTTGCTTAAGAATGGATAGGTTTGATCTTCTTGCAGTCCATGGGACTCTCAAGAGTCTCCTCCAGCACCAGAATTCAAAAGCATCAATTCTTCAGCGATCAGCCTTCTTTATGGTCCAGCTCTCACTTCCATACATCACTACTGGGAAAACCATAGCTTTAACTATATGGACCTTTGTTGGCAAGGTGATGTCTCTGCTTTTTAAGATGCTGTCTAGGTTTGTCATTGCTTTCCTCCCAAGAAGCAGGCGTCTTTTAATTCCGTGGCTGCTGTCACTTGATAGCACTAGACTAGACTAAATCAGCATGAGTCAACTTCATATGTTCAACTAAAGTAGTGGTTTCTGAACTGTTTGAAAACTAGACTTAACTACTGTGCAAATGTGTGTGGAATTGCAGCCTGAACCACACTGCATATCAATATTATTATTTTCTTCTGAACGGAGTATCCATCATAAAATCCACTATGCCAAGAGCTCTTTGTCTTATTGAGCTTTTCAAGACCAGAATAAACTCTTTGGGCCATCCCGTTGAGAATACCAGATAGACACCATAAACATAGAAGAAACTGCTCTGCATGATCTAATAATAGTACATTAGGTAAGACCATGTTGACTTGTTTCTCTGCACTAAGAAATGCAGCCTGCCTCCAGTCCCAGCCAAGCCTTGTATGAAAAGCAGCATGTTGCAGGAACCTGTCCTTGGCTTTTGGGGTTGTGGGCAATGTAGTGTGGGGAGCTAGGAATTCCTCTTCCAAGGATGTTCCTTTCCGGTTCTATTCCACATTGAATTGTACTAGCAGAACCACTGAAAGTCTGCACTCCTTTAGGTGGAACTTGGGCAAAAGCTTGTACACTTGACTCAAGCCAGTTCCTTTCATGTTGTGATGTGAAGCTGTTGTAGAAAACTGGGAGCGCCTAACTGGCTTTGCTCAGTCAGGTGGCTTAATCACAGAAGCCAGGTTCTATTATATACAGTCCTGGTTGGAGCCATGACTTACAGGCTCACTGTGTTTTTGAATTCCTTCCAGGATTCATGATGGAAATGGCTTCATGGGATGGAGGGATTTCTCGGACGGTTCAATTCCTGGTACCGCAGGTAAGTTAGACTTTAAATTTTGTTATGTTCTAGAACAGAAATTTTGATAGGTTCTAGGGACGCGGGTGGCGCTGTGGGTTAAACCACAGAGCCTAGGACTTGCCGATCGGAAGGTCAGCGGTTCGAATCCCCATGACAGGGTGAGTTTCCATGCGTTTCCATGTGCTGCTCTGGTTTGCCAGAAGCGGCTTAGTCATGCTGGCCACATGACCTGGAAGCTGTACGCCGGCTCCCTCGGCCAATAAAGCGAGATGAGCGCCTTAGCCCCAGAGTCGGTCACGACTGGACCTAATGGTCAGGGGTCCCTTTACCTTTAGAACAGAAATGGTTCATAGATTGCCCTGTGTGTTGGTGTTACTTAAAAAAAAATTAAAATCTTGTGACTATCAACTTTATGCCAAAAGGTACCTCCCAATCCCATGGTTTTGTTAGTATTTTTTAAAAAAATAAAAATAGTGTGGTTTATCAGATGGAATGCCTGCCCTGGATTTGAATCTCAGTTCAGCTTTGGAACTCCCTAGTTTATACCCCAGCTTACAGGTTCATTGTACAGATAAATTGGGGGTGGTCATCGTATATGTTGCCCTGAGCTGCTTGGGGGGAGGGTGAGATAAAAATATAATTAAGTGGCTATTTGTAGCTGATAAGCAGAACTTTGCAAATATGTGGCTTCGATTCACAGATTTTGTGAAATAGCTGTTTGTATAAAATAAACAGAGTTTATTTTGTGAAATGAGAGGCGTGTTTTATTTATTCCTGGGATGAATCTGAATAGCTGGAAATTCCCTCTCCCACTGGATGCATAGAGTGCCCTTATGAAGCTCTTTCGGGAGGAAGAGCTGGATATAAATTAAATGAATAAAAAATTTAAAAGTTGCAAGGAAAGCTCAGAGGCTTAATTTGTGTTTGAGCTAGAGAGAACAAGAAACATATTTACTCTTTGGGTCTCTTCCTTTTTATTACAGAGTATTTCTGAAGAAATGTTTTATCAGCTGAGTAATATGTTGCCACAGATTTTCCGTGTCTCATCTACGCTTACTCTGACATCCAAACACTGAGTGCCGTCAAATACTCTGGAAAGGAAATATAGGAAGACAACACTGGATCCATTTTAATACATTAATCATCTCCTCCTTAATGATAACCACCTGAATGTGATTATGGTGCAAATTCCTTGAAAAAGCTGGGATTCGAGACATACTTTAAAGCTTGCACGAGGGGAAGTGGGTTGGTTTGTTTATTTCCCGCCCCTCACTTTTGTCTGCATGCCCTCTCACCATATTATGGGATGTTTTGGGTCCTCCAAGCTTCAGAAGCAGTGGGGAGACAGGGGCAGTAGGGAGTGTGGTAGAAGCCTAATTGAAATACAACAGTGGAGCTCTGGGTCAAGCCGTAATGTATTTTCCTGTACATAAATATTGTCAGAGAAAAAATAATTTTTAAAAAATGGATCTCTTGACAAATGTGTTGATACTTTGTATGGAGTGTAACGTTGATCTCATTTACATTGTTGACATTTGACATTCTTTGCATTTATTTATATGTGCAGAAATGGCTACAGCTTGCTTCAGCGCACAGGTTGCAGTCATAAGCTTATGAAGGCTGGTGGCCGCTGCTGGGAACAGTGGTCTATAGCATTGTCGTCATCCCCCCCCCAAAAAAATGTTTCGTACAACTTACCTGTGGCCAGATACCACAATTTTAGGAAGCCAGACTATGGGTTACCAAGGGGAAGGGATTTAGACATAACAATGCTGTTTTCATTTGCAGTATATTGTAGCATCGGACCTTGTTAAGAAGCAAGTTTGGTGAGTCCATTGCAACTTCCTTCCAAGTGGAGTGCTGGCTTAATGGAGCGAGATACTTTTCTATTCCTGCATTATTATACTTGTTCCGTAATACGTAGTAAAGCATGAAATATGATACGTAAGCCCTTTAGTAGTATGATACATTTAAACAAAATGGGAGGAGAATCACCTTCCTTGCAGTTAGCAAATGAAAACTAATGATAATTTCTCACCATCCTAGATTCGTGCCACGAGATTTGTGTGGTGTGGTACAGTTCTGAGGCCTAGGTCACGCTGTTTCATTCTTTTGCTGATCGTTCTTGTAATTGTCACCCATTTCTAGAATGGAATTTTCCTTTCTGAGGTACAGTGTTTTTGTGTTGGGATAAGATATGACATATCGGCTCCTCTGCTCTCCCACCACTCCATTCCTCTTGAGAGCCTGTGCACAGAACTGCTCTGGAAGATAAAACTGTCTTTTCTTGCATCTGAACCTATAATAATAATAAAGGGATGCGGGTGGCGCTGTGGGTTAAACCACAGAGCCTAGGACTTGCCGATCAGATGGTTGGCAGTTCAAATCCCCGCGTTGGAGTGAGCTTCCGTTGCTCGGTCCCAGCTCCTGCCAACCTAGCAGTTCGAAAGCACGTCAAAGTGCAAGTAGATAAATAGGTACCACTCCAGCGGGAAGGTAAACGGCGTTTTCGTGCGCTGCTCTGGTTCGCCAGAAGCGGCTTAGTCATGCTGGCCACATGACCTGGAAGCTGTACGCCGGCTCCCTCGGCCAATAAAGCGCCGCAACCCCAGAGTCGGTCACGACTGGTCCTAATGGTCAGGGGTTAACCTATAATACTAAATAACCTGAAACACTCAAAGAGCGTGACTCAAATAAACCATGAAAAGCATCAATAGCCCATGCTGTGGGACAAACGCCACCTTGTCCTTGTCTTCAGACTTCACATCAAATGAATGTGTGCAGAATCTAGCAGCTTTATTTGTGAATGGCTTGAAATGAAATGAAATGAAATTTATTACGGTCCCAGACCAGCTTCACATACCGTACTAAGCGAACATAAAACACAATAGAATTAAGTTTGAATTAACAATTGACTATAACAATAAACGGGGACGCGGGTGGCGCTGTGGGTAAAACCTCAGCGCCTAGGGCTTGCCGATCGTCAGGTCGGCGGTTCGAATCCCCGCAGCGGGGTGCGCTCCTGCTGCTCGGTCCCAGCGCCTGCCAACCTAGCAGTTCGAAAGCACCCCCGGGTGCAAGTAGATAAATAGGGACCGCTTACTGGCGGGAAGGTAAACGGCGTTTCCGTGTGCTGCTCTGGCTCTCCAGATGCAGCTTTGTCACGCTGGCCACGTGACCCGGAAGTGTCTGCGGACAGCGCTGGCCCCCGGTCTCTTAAGTGAGATGGGCGCACAACCCTAGAGTCTGTCAAGACTGGCCCGTACGGGCAGGGGTACCTTTACCTTTTATAACAATAAACAATACAAATATGATAGCCATTAGAAATGTGGTTTAGGTCTTAGTCTCTAAAATATTATCTAGAGTTTGCATCTGAGGCCTTAGTCTTTGTAATAGCACAGCGTGTTCCCTGAGTTTTATGGCAGCTGCGCAAAATTTGACCACCCTTAGTGTGATCTCTGGGTCCTTATCCTCTATCGGGGATTTTAAGCATTGAGGTTCAGACCCACTTCGAATTTTCTGTATAACAGGGGTGATCAAGACTGAGCATATATCCTCATAAGAACGACATCGTAGCAAGACATGAGAGACGGTTTCCACCTCTATCAGGCCACAGGGGCAGATTCGCTCCGCATACAGTTTTATCTGCCCTGCGTTAAGGTAGATGGCAGCATGTTGAATCTAGCAAGGGTGAACAGCCGTCTTTTAATTTTGTCAGATATATTGCTGGGGTAAAACCTCTCCCAGTGTCTTTGATTGATGGTGTCATCTCACTCACATGACACCGAAATTCTGCATCCCAGATTTGTTGGTTGAGTGGCTTTGTTTTGCTTCCAAACCGATAGACCCATCCATGCAGTTTTAGGCGAATTATGTCATAAAGGTTAGGCCTCTCCACAATTTAAAATGTAATCTTTTTAAGTAAGGATCCTTCGTTTAACCCAAAGGAGGACCTGCCTTCTCAAGGCAGGAAGCAAAAATTCCAAGCAAGTTGGAAGATCGGTGGGAGTTTGGAGACCCTGGAGAGGAGAAAGGGAATCAAAATTAAAAGGGTATATGAACCTGATGCTCATAGAGCATGGGTAGGGCAAACTAAGGCCCGGGGGCCAGATCCAGCCCAATCGCCGCCTAAATCCAGCCCACAGACAGTCCGGGAATCAGCGTGTTTTTACATGAGTAGAATGTGTCCTTTTATTTAAAATGCATCTCTGGGTTATTTGTGGGGCACAGGAATTCATTCATTAGTTTTTTTCCAATATATAATCCGGCCCCCCACAAGGTCTGAGGGACAGTGGACTGGCACCCTGCTGAAAAAGTTTGCTGACCCCTGTTATAGAGTAATACCGGTTATGTTAACAAACTGCTCCTTTGATGTGAATAAGCACACTTTTTTAAAGAAAATTTAAAAAATTGTCCAGCAGCACCTTAGAGACCAATGTAAGTTTGTTCTGGGTACTATATAAGCTTTTCTGTGTATGCACACTTCTTCAGATACTATTTTCTAAAAGAGTGACTCTGCCTTTGTTTTTTAAAGAAATAATTAATATGTGGTCAGCAGACAAGGAAGGACAAGAACCCAAGCAGCTGTTTCCCCATTAGAAAGGGACAATAGGGAAGGACTCTTGAGAAAGCTTCCCTATACAAAATCATAATAGTATTTGCTGTCTCCATTTAGTTCAGTAGTCCAGCCTGAATCTCCAGGTGACCTTGCATTAGTTGCTTAAGCAATGCCCATTTTTTGCTAATTATCCCTGTTCCCTGCAGACTGCTGTACCCCTTCTCTTACCTGATAACAGCATTTTTTGTTTGGGGCTGCGTGTGAAAGGGATTGCAGCAGCAAGCAAATAGGAGAGCCCTGTTCCATATTTGCTCATATTTGGCTTTCCTGTGTCATTACAATACACCATCCATTCAAATAGATTCTGCCTCTATAAACATAGGATTTTAGCAATTGTGACCAATGTGATCATAGACAGATTAGTCCTTTCTCTCTTTTTAAGCCACCTAAGCTAGTGGACACGGACGCGGGTGGCGCTGTGGGTTAAACCACAGAGCCTATGACTTGCCGAACAGGAGGTCGGCGGTCGAATCCCCACAACAGAGTGAGCTCCCGTTGCTCGGTCCCTGCTCCTGCCAACCTAGCAGTTCGAAAGCACGTCAAAGTGCAAGTAGATAAATAGATACCGCTCTGGCGGGAAGGCAAACGATATTTCTGTGTGCTGCTCTGGTTCGCCAGAAGCGGCTTAGTCCTGCTGGCCACATGACCTGGAAGCTGTACGCCGGCTCCCTCGGCCAATAAAGCGAGATGAGCGCCACAACCCTAGAGTCGGCCACAACTGGACCTAATGGCCAGGGGTCCCTTTACCTTTACCTTAAGCTAGTGGACAGTGAATGCCGTCATAATGCATTGTAAGGCCATTGTTTTTGCCTCGTGAACCTGCTGTAAGTCAACTTAATTGGAATAGCCTGAGTTCCACAGTTATTATTCTGTAATTGTTTTACAATCTGGGTTCTTTTCATTGCTATGTAAGGGGAAAGGATGGGCTGGAGGAAGACAGCTGAGAGTTGCATCTGGGGATGTCAGTCGTTTCTGTGCAACCATTTTACAGCTGCTGTGAGTCTGAGCTAAAGGTCAGTACAGAGACGCTGCAGAAGAGAGTTCCATGCACATTCCAGCTGTGAACACATGGCTGCTGCTTGTCTGTTTCAGAGGAATTTTCAGTGTACCCTCGCATGCTTGCCTTGACCCCGCTCCATGCCTTCCGTCTACTGCGAATCAGGCAGAAGCTATTCTCTAATCTCACGTCAAATAGGCATTCTGCACAGGAGATGCTTTGAATAGCTGCATATCATCATTAGAACGGCGGCTATGAATGGATCTCATTTATCTTTAGCCCAAGGTTTGCATCCTATTTGCAAGGGCCTCACGGGATCCTCAAGCCAAGATCAAGCTTAAAAACTCTGGAATATTGAATAATTTGTGGAATTCGTTGACTTCTAAATAGGAGGAATGTTCAGTTCCTTTAAAAAGGAGGGTTGGGCCAAAATTATCTCATTTTCGGATCATTTTCATGTGTCAAAGAAGCTCCCCCCATTTTTGGCAATTTCCTGCACTTGTTACAAGCATATTCACATTGTTTCCATACTGGTTTTCGTGGGGCCATTTTGTCAAGCGATCATCCGGCAGCATATTTCACATTGTGACTGCAGAAACTCCGTTTGTATCACATCACATTTATCTATTAAAATTTTTATTCTGCTTTTCTCCCAGATTTAATAATTTAAAATCAAATTAACAGCGCAATAGCACACACGTATACACAGAAATAAGTACCACTGACTTTAATGCAACTTTTTCCTGGGTATTTGAGTGCAGGATTTCAGCTGTAAAGGATTAAATAACTTATCATAATAATCAACTATGGTTCTAAAATTCAGTACGTATTTTTGTTCATGATTTCTCTGGCTTCCATTTGTTTTGTTTTTTAAGGGTATGAGCTGTCCCACCCAGGTAAGTAAAAGGAAAGAGTTTGGAATATAATTTTGTGAAGCCTTCCTGCCTCTCCTTCTCTATTTAGTCACATGGTTTGCAGTCTCTCCATTCATTGCTCACTATATAAGTCCATTTCCTTGCAAGGACCCTGGCCCACAATGTTTCAGCCACAGGGTCCACAGGTATGGAAGGAAAGGGCCCTATTGAGCCCTAGGGCTGATGGTTTGTGCACAATTGTACCATTCATTTTTATGAATCGATCTCTAAAAGATGGACGGTTGAGCAACTACAAATCTAATCTGTTGAAACACTTCGCTGTTACTGCTTAAGATAATGATCTGTTTGTTTATAATTAGACTTTTTTATATGGCACAAGTTGGAAGTCTCTACAGCTACAAAGGCTTTCGCCAACTAGAGGACATACTTTTGTAACATCAGTTGATAAAAATAAGACG